GGCTTCCAAGGCGCCCCCTGCCCAGCCTCACCTCCTCTTCTGGGGCTGGTCCAGCCGCACATCCCAGCAGCAGCAGCCACCCTCGCAGCCGGCCAGCAGGCGGGCGTCCGGGCAGGAGGCGACAGGGCAGAGGCGCAGAGGGATGGAGGTGGTGTCCAGTGTGAGCAGCTGGCTGCCGGTGGGTGAGAGGGAGCAGAGCGTCAGCCCTGGACCAAGGTGTCCCTGCCCCAGCAGCTGGCCACTCCCCAGCCTCGCCCGAAGCATCACCTGGCCTGGAATTCGTAGTCCTGGTTGGGCATCCCAATGTCCCAGAGGATGATCCGCTTGTCATAGGAGGCCGCTGAGGAGGGAGTGGGGCAGGGGAGAGGTGGCCCTGAGGTGGCCTTGCTCCCTCCTGCTGGCTGCATACGAGGCTGAGCCCGCGGTCACCGAGGCAGGGAGGGAGGGCCGAGGCTAGGAGACAGAACACTCCTGGGCCTACAATCCCTGTCTCCTCGCTGTAACCTGATGCGGTGGCTCCAGCAGCCATCTCCTGTAGCTCATCCATCTCCCTTGCCAGGGGGCACCACACCTGGGGGCAGGAGCATCCCCCCAGGTCACTGACAGGGGACAGAGTGGCCCAAACTGTTGGGAAACTCCAAGGCCACAGAGCAGGCTGTGGATAAAGCCAGGGTTGAAGTGCCATGGCTTCCTGCCAAAGCTAGAGTGGGAGCAGTGCAGCCTGGGGCCCGGCAGGCACCTGAGCTCCCAGCCATCCCAGGGAGGAGAGCGCGGAGGCCACTGGGGCAGCAGGACAGGGGTGCTTGGGGGTCCCAGGGGTGAAGGGGAGGGGCTTACTGAAGAGGTGGGTCTCATGGGCAGGGCTGAAGCACAGGGTGGCGATGGCCTTCTTGTGGGCCCGAATGACCCCGCAGCAGAAGCCGGCACGCACGTGCAGTAGCCGGACCAGGCCCCGCAGGCCTGCGGCTGCCAGCACACTCCAGCGCTTCTTGTGGCCGGCCTGTGTGACCACCATCAGGGCGGTCCAGGCCACAGAAAAGAACTCCTGGGCGGGGGTTAGAGGAAACAGTCACTGGGGCAGAGCTATTGGTGTGAACACACGGGCAGGTCCGGGCCTGGGGGAGGGAGCCCCAGCATGAAAGAAAAAGGCCACTGGGCAGGGGGCCAAGCCTGCACCCATCCCCATGCTGCTATGCAGGAGTCAGTTGGGCACCCCTGCCCTGCACTCACCTCGCCGGGCGCCTTGTACTTGTGGAGCACGATGCCTGTCTGGCAGTCAATCACACACACGGCCTCCCCGCCGCACGTGGCCACGGTCTGGGATGTGGCCCCTGAGTGCCCGGTTTTGAGAGGTCAGATGAGCAGAGACACTTCCCATCCAAGTCCTCCCTGCAGCCTCCTCCTCCCAGACTTGATGGTGCCTTTTAAGCTCTGTCTCCTGATCCCCCACCCATCCAGGCGGCCCCATTTCCAGCAGCCCTTGCCCCGCCTGCCCGCCACCATGTACCCTCCTCCCAGGCTGGCTCGAAGGCACAGGCCCACAGCTGGGTCTCGAGGTCCTGAGGGCTGTTGTTCTTGCTGTGGCACTGCAGGAAGTGCAGGGGCTCCAGCTTCAGGGCAGGCTGTGTGGGGAGAGGAAGGTCACGGCTGCCCAGCCCCAACTCATCTGCCACCTGCTCCTTGCCACCTCAGCTCACCTGGCTGCCATCGGAGCCTGCCACAGGGCCGCCCTCCACCTGGGCCGACGGGGAGGCACACGCCCGCTTGCTGGGAGAGAGGTTGAGTGGGACATCGTCTGGCCGTTTCAAGGCCGCCAGTCTGGCCTGTGGAGGGGGCCTTGTGACCATGGGCCCATCTGCCAGGGGCTTCCTTCCTGCCCATCACAGGCTGGACCCCACCTCACTGTGGGTGTAGGAGGCCCAGGCTGGCCCAGGGTCGTCTAGGGAGCGAGTCAGGGCCTGGGGTGCTTCCTGGGCCCATGCCCAGGTCACCTTGGTCTCCTGCAGCTTCTCCAGGCAGGAGGGGCTGGGCCAGCCTCAGAGCCCTAGGAGCTGCACTCACCCTGGGCTTGTGGGCAGCTCCAGCTTCTGGGGGCTTCTCTGGGCTGTCAGCCTCGTGCACCTGGGTCCTACTGGAGGCCACCAGCTCCTCAGAGATCATCCGCACCTGGGTGGGGCCAGGCCATCAGGAAGCTGGGCACAGTCCCAGGCGCCCCCAGCCCTGCCAATGCATAGTCAGGGGGAGCCTGTGCTTCCAGAGTTGGGGAAGGGCCTCTCCAGTCAACAGGGCTGCCCACCCTGACTCACCCCACTCCCACAGCCCCTTAGCCCTTCACACCCAGGGACCTCCAGGCAAGGGATACGAGAGCCAGTGACTCCCTGCACATCGGGACAGGGACGTACCCGCCACTGGGTGAACTCGCTGAGGGACTCAGGCCCGTAGCGGACATCCCTGACAGCTGACTTCACAAAGTCTGCCTGGGCCTTCTCAGCCTCCTCTTCAGGGCCCAGTGTGGCCATGAACTTCTCCCAGTGAGCTGTGACCTGGTGCAAGAGGGAGCAGATCCAGGCCCGGCCCACCCCAGCTCCTCCGGACCCAGCCCTCCATCCTGCCACCTGCTGGAAGCCTCCTGGAATCACAGCCTCATAAACCACACACACAGACACACACACACACACCCCACCCCCACCCCACCCCGAAACAGCCCAGGGACCTGTAGTCCCAGCCACCGGGAGGCTGAGGAAGAAGCATCGCTTGAGGCCAGGAGTTGGAGCCTGGGGTATATAGCAAGATCCCATCTCTACAAAAAATTTTAAAATGATCCAGACATGTGCCTAAAGCCCCAGCTATTGAGGAGGCTAAGGCAGGAAGATTGCTTGAGCCCAGGAGTTGGATGCTGCAGTGAGCTATGATCACACCACTGCACTTCAACATGGGCAGCAGAGTGAGACCCTGTCTCTAAAAAAAAAAAAAAAAAAAGGAAAGTAAAAACCCAGAAAGCGCTACTTATAAGAGTCAGGCCGGGTGCGGGGACTCACACCGGTAATCCCAGCACTTTGGGAGGCCAAGGCGGGCAGATCACCTAAGGTCAGGAGTTTGAGACCAGCCTGGCCAACATGGTGAAACCCTGTCTCTACTAAAAATACAAAAAATTAGCTGGACGTGGTGGCAGGTGTTTGTAATCCTAGTTACTTGGGAGGCTGAGGCAGGAAAATCACTTGAACCTGGGAGGCAGAGGTTGCAGTGAACCAAGATCGCACCACTGCACTCCAGTCTGGGTGATGCAGTGAGACTCCATCTCCAAAAAAAAAAAGCACATCAGGCTAGGGGCTGTTAGGGCAAAGAGCCCCTATCAGTCACCCTCCTCGCATCCTCCTGATGTCCAATTCCATCACTTTCCTGATGCCGCCTGTAGCTCCCAAGCACACAATAATCCTCTCATCCCCTTACCCTGCTGGTCAGCTCCCGATTCAGGTTCTCCACCTGAGAGTAAGTTGAGGACGCATCCTTGCCATTGACCTTACGGAGTGTGGGCAGGAGAAAGGAGACTTTCAGGTTGTCATTGACCTGGGGAAGAGGGGGTGAACGGCAGTGGCTCAGGAGATGCTGAGCCTGAGCCCAACAGAGTCCTGGCCCCCAGTATGAGGCTGGTGGGAGGCCCCCACTTACCGTCAGGAAGGGGTTCCCCTCCAGGCTGAGTTCCTCGAGCTTGGGGAACTGGCACAAGGCAGTGACATCCCCCAGCTGGTTGTTGGCGCAGCGGAGGACACGCAGGTGGGACAGGCCCAGGTTGTCCGGCAGCGTCTCCAGCTGGTTGTTAGATAGGTCCAGCTCCTGCAGCTGCGTCAGGCGGCACAGGAGCTTGGGGTCCAAGTGCTCGGAGAGCAGCTCCAACCCTGACAGGCTGGAGTTGGGGGCAGAAGGCTTAGGGGGAGGGCAGGCTTTGCACCCCACACCAATCTGCCCCAGCTATCTCAGAAGGCTTTTTCACCTGACATTTCTCGCACAAGTGCAGCCGCCCCGCCCCACCCCCTCGTTACTTTATTTTTAGAGACGGGGCGTCACTCAGTCGCCTAGGCGCGATCACAGCTCACTGCTGCCTCCATCTCCTGGGCTGAGGGATCCTCCCGCCTCAGCCTCTCGAGTAGGTGGGACTAGAAGCGCGCGCCACTACTCCCGACTCCCCACCACTTAAAAAAAAAAAAAAAAAAAAAAAAACTGCAACTACTTTAGGACTGAGGGGCATCCTAGCCCCCTCTAGGATGCTCTTCCTGATCCTTCGGGGGCTCCTCTGTGCTTCCCAGGCCCTCTAATGGTAGCTGCAGGCTGTGCCCCTAACTCTCCCGGCTCCCTTCAGGGGATGAGGCCCCTCGGGGCTCGCGGCGAACGGGTAGGGCCACGATCTCCCAACAAGAAGACATTTGGAGCGACTCTGCCGAACCCAGAGGGCGATAACGGGGACAGGCAGGCCGTTGGGGAGGGTCCCCGCTCTTCCCTCCGACCCCCGGCCCCGCGGACACAGCCTCGCCCCCTGCCCGGCTCTTACTCCAGGCTCCGGATCTTCCCCAGCCGGTCGCTCTTGGGGCGCCCGCGCTGCATCAGCAGCCGCGCCGAGAGGGGGCCCATGGCGAGGAGGCGCGGCCCGCGCCGACCCAGTCGGCGGCCCCGGCGTCTGGCGTCCCCCTGCGTCTCCTGGAGCCCGGTACTGGCGTCCGCGATAACGGAGCCCAGGAGGTGGCGCCGCGCGAGCCCGTGGGCGTTAACGACCGGAAGGAAGCGGAACCTAGGCCTCGTGCCCCCGCCTCGCGCGGACTACAACTCCCAGCGGCCACCCACGGCCGCGCCTGCGCACTGGCCACCCGGACGGCGCGATGGCGGCTGCCGCCGCCGAGACCCCCGAGGTCCTTCGGGAATGTGGTTGTAAGGGCATCCGGACCTGTCTGATCTGCGAGCGGCAGCGTGGCGGCGACCCGCCCTGGGAACTGCCCCCAGCGGTAAGGGGTAGGGGCCTCGTCCACAGACGTCGCTCTGCATCTGGGGAAACTGAGGCCCAGCTTGGCCATGATACGGGCCGGGATCAAAGCCTGTGAGGGACCCTTGCGGTAGGAGCGATGCGGGCTGAGGAGATGAGGGCTTTAAGGAGCGGGCTTGGGAGTGGGGAAGGGGCTGGAATGTGGGTGGGTGCGATCACAGGTAACCTCGGGAACTCTGGGGGGATCTGCCTGCAAACCTCGACGTAGCCTCTCGGGTCTGGCGCTGGGAGCTTCACAGGCCCGCGAGGAGATGACACGGAAAGGGTCGATCGAGGGTGCTGAATACCAGTCCAGCGGTGCCTGAAGGCCGTGGACTGCAATGGACAAGGAGACAGTGAATTCCAGTTAACTAATGAAGAGGAACTCAAGGATCGCTGCAACCCAGGAGTTGGAGGCTGCAGTGAGCTATGATTGAGCCACCTCACTTCAGCCTGGGCGACAGAGCGAGACCCTGCCTCACGAAAAGAAAATAAATAAAAAAAGAAAAAGAACTCAGAGCCTTTGGGCTGGCATGGAAGGATTGTGGTTGGTTGCAAGGGCATTCCAGCCCAGAAAACTGCGTGGGGTAGGAAGGTGGAGTGGTGATGGCTCAGGTGAGAGAGATGAGGCCGGAGAGGTTGGTGGGGGCAGCGGGGGGCGGGTGGTGTCTGACCACAGATGGTTCCCTGCGCATCAACTGAGCAGGCTGGACTTGTCCCAAAGGCCATGGAAAGCTCTTGAAGGGTTTTAAAGGAGTGAAGTCAAATGTGCATTTTAGAAAGATCCTGGGAAGGGAAGGGGCAGATATGAAGTTGTGGAGGCTGGGAAGCCAGTGAAGAAACTGCCCCATCATCCATAGTAGAAGTGCCCAAGGTCCTGTGGAATCCGTATGGCATGCCTCATGAATTAAACATAGAATTACCCATGATCCGCAGTCCTGCTTCTGGGTATATATCCAAAGGAACTAAAAGCAGGGTCTGGAAGAGATATTTGCATACCAATGTTCATAGCAGCATTATTCACGACAGCCCAAAGATGGAAGCAAACCAAGTATCTATCAAGAAATGAGTTGGGCCGGGTGTCGTGGCTCTTGCCTGTTATCCCAGCACTTTGGGAGGCTGAGGTGGGCAGATCACCTGAGGTCAGGAGTTTAAGACCTGCCCGGCTAACATGGCGAAACCCTGCCTCTACTAAAATTACAAAAACTTGCCGGGCTTAGTGAGGCACATCTGTAATCCCAGCTACACAGGAGGCTGAGGCAGGAGAATCACTTGAACCCAGGAGGCAGAGGTTGCAGTGAGCCGAGATCGCATCACTGCACTCCAGCTCGGGTGACAGGGCAAGACTCCTTAAAAAAAAAAAAAAAAGAGAGAGAGATGAACTGATGCAGAAAACGTGGTGTATACACACAGTGGAATACTATTCAGCCTTAAAAAGGAAGGACAGGCCAGGCACAGTGGCTCACGCCTCTAATTCCAGCACTTTGGGAGACCGAGGCAGGTGGATCGCCTGAGCCCAGGAATTTGAGACCAGCATGGGCAACATGGTGAAACCCCACCTCTACACAGAATTAGCCATGCATGGTGATACGCACCTGTGGTCCCAGCTACCCAGGAGGCTGAGATGGGAGGGTTGCTTGAGTCTGGGAGGTCAAGGCTGCAGTGAGCTATGATCATGCCACTGCTGCACTCTGGCAACATAGCGAGACCCTGTCTCAAAAAAAAAAAGGACATTTTGACATATGTTACAGCATGGATGAACCTTGAGGACATGAGGCTAAGTTAAGGAAGCAGTCACAGAAGACAAGTACTGCAGGATTCCTGTTGTGTGAGCTATGTAGGGTAGTCACAAGGACAGAAAGTAGAAGGGTTGTTGCCAGGGGCTCAGGAAGCGGAGATGGGGATCTGTTGTTTAATGGGGAAAGAGTTTCAGTTTTGCAAAATGAAAAAGTTCTGAATGGTGGTAACGGCTGTGCAATAATATGAATGAACTTTAGAGTTTTAATTTGTGGAAGGGGCCAGGTGCGGTGGCTCATGCCTAGAATCCCAGCCCTTTGGGAGGCTGAGGCAGGAGGATCGCCTGAGTCCAGGAGTTTGAGACCAGCTTGGACAACATAGCAAGACCTTGCCTCTACAAAAAATTTAAAAATTAGCTAGGTGCGGTGGCGTGTGCTTGTAGTCCCAGTTACGTGGAAGGCTGAGGTGGGGGAATTGCCTGAGCCCAGGAGGTCAAGGCTGCAGCGAGCTGTGAGCGCCACTACACTCCAGCCTGAGTGGCAGAGTAAGACCCTGCCTCAAACAAAAAAAAAAAGAAAAGAAAAGAAAAGAAATTGCGGAAAGTCTGACCCGCGCCAGTGGCCATGTGAAGGTAACACCTTCCCAACACGATGGATGTGGAACAAGGAAAATGAGGTGTCCAGGATCTCAGGGCACTGGGGCAGTTCCTCACTGACTTTCCAGCCTCCACCCCTTCATAGCTGCCCCTCCCCCTCTCCAGATCGTTCTAAAATTCACATTTGACCTCGTCACTCCTTTAAAACCCTTCAAGAGCGCTCCATGGCCTTTGGGACAAGTCCAGCCTGCTCAGTCGACACACGGGGGACTCCCAATTTTAATGTTTCCCATGGGAGGGCCCCAGGAGCGGGAGGAGATAGTGCCGATCTCAGGAGGTGTCTGAGCTGGAAGTAAAGCATTAGAAGGGGCTGAGGTCCCTGGAGGGAAGAACAGAGAAAGACAGCGGCCCACAGTGAGTGGCAGCCCAGGGTGTGAGGAGCCTGGAGATGGGAGAGGAAGAGGAGATGGGCCACAGAGCCCAGGGCTGAGGTCTGGTGGCCTCTGAGGTCCTCAATGGGTGACTCTGGCCAGAACCTCCGCATGTCTACACCTCCTGCCCATGATAGTTATGGTACCTTCCTCTTGGGGCTGTCCTAGGGATGAAACTAGATAATCCATGTAAAATGTTTAGTGCCATGGATGCAAATATTTCATTGGCGAAACTCTTTTTTAAAAATTTATTATGGGCCGGGCTCGGTGGTTTAGGCCTGTAATTGCAGCACTTTGGGAGGCCGAGGCGGGAGAATCACAAGGTCAGGAGTTCAAGATCATCCTGGTCAACATGGTGAAACCCCGTCTTTACTAAAATACAAGAAAAAATTAGCTGGGCGTGGTGGCACGTGCCTGTAGTCCCAGCTACTTGGGAGGCTCAGGCAGGAGAGTCGCTTGAACCCAGGAGGCAGAGGTTGCAGTGAGCCAAGATCGTGCCACTGCACTCCAGTCTTGGTGACAGAGCGAGATTCCATCTCAAAAAAGAAAATAAAAAAATGTTTTTTTATTATTTTCAAGATGGGGTTGCCCAGGCTGGTGTCCGCTAGCGCGATCTTGGCTCACTACAACCTCCATCTTCCGGCTCAAGCGATTCTCCTGCCTCAGCCTCTCGAGTAGCTGGAACTATAGGAGCGCCACCACACCCAGCTACTTTTTTTTATTTCAGTAGAGACAGGGCTTTGTCATGTTGGCCAGGCTGGTCTCGAACTCCTGTACTCAAGTAATTCATCCGCATCAGCCTCCAAAAGAACTGAGATGACAGGTGTGAGCTACCACACCTGGCCAGAATTTATTATTTCTTTATTGAGATGTGATCTCTCTGTGTTGCTAAGGCGAGTCTCAAACTCCTGGGCTCAAGTGATTCTCCCGCCTTGGCCTCCCAAAAGGCTGGGGTTACAGGTGTGAGCCACCACGTCTGGCCATTAACTAACTATTTTTATTTTTTTTTTTTTTTTGGACGGTTGCTCTCCCAGTGAGTCAGTGGCCGATCTCACTGGCTCGCCTCCGGTTCACACATTTCTCCTCAGCTCCCGAGTAGTGGACTATAGGCCCCACCACCTCGCCCGGCTATTTTTTTTTTTTTTTAGTAGAGCGGGTTTCACCTTTACCGGATGTCTCGATCTCCTGACCTCGGATCCCCCGTCTCGCCCCCAAGGCTGGTTACAGGCGTGAGCCACCGCGCCCGGCCTAACTAACTATTTTTAATGAAGACAGGTGGACAGGAAGGGGTAGCCGAAGCCAAGGGAGAGATTTAAGAAGTAGTCACTGGCAGCGTGACTTGGGGTCAGGGTCAAGGATGGCTGCACAGAAGGCAGAAAAGAGACAGTTGAGAGAGGTGGAGGCCCCGGGAGAGTTGGGGGATGGGAGGCTGCAGGTACAGGAATGGTGGTGACAGGAGAGGAGGAGGAGGAGCCATGGCTTGGGAGGAGACAAGGCCAGGAGTAGTTTCTAGACTTTTTTTTTTTTTTTTTGAGACAGGCTGTGTCACCCAGGCTGGAGTGCAGTGGTGCAACCTCAGCTCACTGCAATCTCCGCCTCCTGGGTTCAAGGGATTCTCCTGCCTCAGCCTCCCGAGTAGCTGGGATTACAGGCATGCATCACGACGCCCAGCTAACTTTTGTATTTTTAGTAGAGATGGGGTTTCGCCATGTTGGCCAGGCTGATCTCGAACTCCTGACCCCAGGTGATCTGTCCATCTTGGCCTCCCAAAGTGCTGGGATTGCAGGTGTGAGCCACCGCACCCGTCTTGGTTTCCAGACTTTCCTTAGCATGGGGGAGCCCTGAGAGTACCGCCAGGCCTCAGGGATGGTGGCAGAGCAGAGAGGGACATGGGGTGGGAGTTGAGTGACAGCCCAGGGTATAAGGATTGAGGGGTGATGCTGGGTTTGGAAAAGTGCCCTGAGGACAAGAGTGAAGAGGAGGGAGGCTGGGGCGCTGAGGAGCTCAGCTGAATGCTCAGCTCAGTAGGGAAGGAGGCTGCCCTCCTGGGTGACCCTCAGGCTGGTGATAGGCACGGGCAGCCCCTGGGATACAGGGGTGGCGTCAGCAAAGACCTAAAGAGATGAGGGTCCACAGATTCAAGATAGGCAGTTTGGGTCTTCCTGGAAGCAGCCATGGAGATGGGAGTGCAGGAGGTGCTGTCCAGCCTCGGGCTGGTTCCCTAACTTTGCTGAGCCTCCTTTGTAAAATGGAGAAGGAAAAACGCGTTGTACAAACCCTTCTCTTTTACAGGGGAGGAAAGTGAGAAAGGAAACCAGTCAAATTCATGTTAACTCCAGAGGGCTGCAGGCCGTCCCCCGGTCAGCCTGGGGCAGAGGCTCTGCCTGCACCTCCCCCTAGTCTCCAACTGCCTTCTACGGTGGCCTGAGAGGAGGAATGAGCCATCAGAGGGTCTCCTGAGGGCACACAAGTGCCGGAGCTGCCATGGCTCCAGGACGCGTCTTTCCCTTTTTTTTTTTTTTTTTTTTTTGAGACAGGGTCTTGCTTTGTTGTCCAGGCTGGAGTGCAGTAGCACAACCATGGCTCGCTGCAGCCTCAACCTCTTGGGCTCAAATGATCCTCCTGCTCAACCTCCTGAGTAGCTCTGCCACACCTGGCTAACTTTTATTTAAACTTTTTTTTTTTTTTTTTTTTTGAGTCTCACTCTGTCGCCCAGGCTGGAGTGCAGTGGTGCCATCTTGGCTCTCTGCAACCTCTGCCTTCCAGGTTTAAGCAATTCTCCAGCCTCAGCCTCCTGAGTAGCTGGGATCACAGGCACCTGCCACCACGCCTGGCTAATTTTTGTATTTTTAGTAGAGATCGGGTTTCACCATGTTGGCCAGGCTGGTCTTGAACTCCTGACCTCAGGTGATCCACCCACCTCGGCCTCCCAAAGTGCTGGGATTACAGGTGTGAGCCACCGCGTCCGGCCTATTTTAACTTTTCGTAGGGACGGGGTCTCGCTCTGTTGCCCAGCCTGTGGACCTGTGTTTCTTTTGCAGAAAACATACCGTTTCATTTACTGCTCCGACACCGGCTGGGCCGTGGGTGCAGAGGAATCTGACTTTGAGGGCTGGGCCTTCCCCTTCCCAGGAGTGATGCTGATCGAGGACTTTGTGACCCAGGAGGAAGAAGCCGAGTTGGTGCGGCTCATGGACCGTGACCCCTGGAAGCTCTCCCAGTCTGGACGGAGGAAGCAGGTAGGCCGGCCCTGAGCCCATGGGGAGGGCTGGGCTGCGCTGAGGGGGCAGCCCTACTGCTGGGGACCCTCCCCTTCCTCTGCAGCCATACCCCACAAACCTCCAGGGTTAGTAGTGGGCGACTTCCCCAGACCCTGGGGCCGTCTGCAGCCTGTGTGCTGCAGGATGTGTGTCTGATGGGCAGAGGTGCACCCGGGTACCCCTCTCCCCGTGATATGTGCTGCTGGGCTCTCTGCCCCTCTCTGCACCAATGGTGGTGGCGAGGGCACCCCATTCTCCCAAGCTGCAGGCGCCCCCACCTCCCATTGTCACCATCAGTGTCCTGTCTCCTCACACGCTTCCCCTTCCCCGGGCCCGCTGTTCCCTCCAACTCACCCCTTCCCTACCTGTGTCCAAACTCTACTGGAGGCTGGAGTGACCCCGCCTCCTCACGTCCCCTCACCCCCTCACCCCCATTCCTCCCTCCCCAGCCTCCATGTATGGCCACTGGGACAGTCAACATCCCTGGGTGCCCCCTCAGCCTTCATTGTAGCTTTTTTTTTTTTTTTTGGGACAGAGTCTCGCTCTGCCACCCAGGCTGGAGTACAGTAGCATGACCTGAGCTCATTGCAACCTCTGCCTCCCAGGTTCAAGCCATTCTTCTGGCTCAGCCTCCCAAGTAGCTGGGACTACAGGTGCCCATCACCACGCCCGGCTAATTCTTGTATTGTTAGTGGAGACGGTGTTTCACCATGTTGACCAGGCTGGTCTCGAACTCCTGACCTCAAGTGATCCGCCCGCCTTGGCCTCCCAAAGTGCTGGGATTACAGGCGTGAGTCACCGCGCCCGGCCCCATTCTTTTGTGACATCCTGTTGGATGTTTGTACATTTCATTTCCTCATTCATCTGTCAATGGACATTGGTGTTGTCACTTTTTGGTTGTCACTTTTTGGCTGTTGTGAACATTTGTGTACAGGTTATTCGTGGTTGGTTTTTTTTTTTTTTTTTTTTTTTTTTGAGACAGGGTCTTGCTCTGTTGCCCAGACTGGAGTGCAGTGGTGTGATCTTGGCTCACCGCAGCCTTGACCTCCCAGGCACTAGTGATCCTCCTACCTCAGCCTCCTGAGTAGCTGAAACTAAGGCATATGCCACCAAGCCCAGCTAATTATTATTATTATTATTTTGAGACAGGGTGTCTCATTCTGTCTCCCAAGCTGGAGTACAGTGGCTCAGTCTCTACTCACCACAGCCTCAACCTCCTGAGCTCCAACAGTCCTCTCACCTCAGCCTCCTAAGTAGCTGGGACTAAGGCCTGTGCCACTACATCTGTCTAATTTTTGTTTTTTTTACTAGAGATGGAGTTTTGCTATGTTGCCCAGGCTGGTCTCGAACTCCTGGGCTCAAACGATCCACCCGCCTGGGCCTCCCAAAGTGTTGGGATGATAGGCGGGAGCCACCATACCCAGCCTAATTTTTAAATTTCTTGTAGAGAGGACTGGTCTCGAACTCCTGGCCTCAAGAGCTCCTTCCGCCTCAGCCTTCCAAAGCGCTGGGATTACAGGCATGCACCACCACGCCCGGCCATTTGCTGTCACTTCTGTCTCCTTGAGTCTGCCTCCTCCTGCTTCACCTCCATGAAGCCAGGAGGCTTTTGCTTGCCTTGGTCACTGTGATTGAATTCTTCCGACCTAGTCTGTGGTAGACATCTTCATAAAGTCAGACACCTCATGTTCTTTTTGTCTTCATCCGTCAGGACTATGGCCCCAAAGTCAACTTTCGGAAACAGAAGCTAAAGACCGAGGGCTTCTGCGGCCTCCCCAGCTTCAGCCGGGAGGTGGTGCGGAGGATGAGCCTCTACCCGGGGCTGGAGGGCTTCCGGCCCGTCGAGCAGTGCAACCTGGACTACTGCCCCGAGCGCGGCTCTGCCATCGACCCCCACCTGGACGACGCCTGGCTGTGGGGGGAGCGGCTGGTCAGCCTCAACCTCCTGTCCCCCACCGTGCTGTCCATGTGTCGGGAGGCACCCGGGAGCCTGCTCCTCTGCTCGGCCCCGTCGGCTGCCCCGGAGGCCTTGGTGGACAGCGTGATAGCACCCAGCCGGTCGGTGCTATGCCAGGAGGTGGAGGTGGCCATCCCCTTACCCGCCCGCTCCCTGCTGGTCCTCACGGGGGCCGCAAGGCACCAGTGGAAGCACGCCATCCACCGCAGACACATCGAGGCCCGCCGCGTCTGCGTCACTTTCCGGGAGCTGTCAGCCGAGTTCGGCCCCGGAGGGGGGCAGCAAGAGCTGGGCCAGGAACTGCTGCGAATTGCCTTCTCCTTCCAGGGAAGACCCGTATGAGCCGCCTCCCTGGCTCCAGACTTGACTGATCCTGGGATTGAAACGGGAAGCACAGGACAGGGCCTCCCGTAACTCACGGGGTTTCAAGAGAAGATGGGTGACATGCTGTGAGCGGTGTGAGCCGCACCCGGGAGCGGGTTTTGATGGGAACGCACCTCGGGGCAGCCCCCTTCCACCTGGACCGTGGCCATGCTTGTTTTGGTTATTTAATTTGTCACAGTCTTGGGGACGTGGGATCATTTGAGCTTAAAAAATATTGGGGGCCGGGCACGGTGGCTCACGCCTGTAATCCTAACACTTTGGGAGGCTGAGGTGGGTGGATCGCTTGAGGTCAGGAGTTCGAGACCAGCCTGGCCAACATGGTGAAAACCGGTCTCTACAAAAAATACAAAAATTAGCCAGGTGTGGTGACTCGCACCTGTAGTCCCAGCTACTTGGGAGGCTAAGGTGGGAGAATCGCTTGAACCCGGGAGGTGGAGGTTGCAGTGAGCCAAGATTGCGCCACTGCACTCCAGCCTGGGCGACAGAGCAAGTGTTTCAAAAAAAAGAAGGGAACATTTTAAATGATTTTCACCTTTATTATGCATCTATTTTCATGGGGTTTCCTGATATCTCACCGTCCAGCCCCTTCATTTGGGGAATGTGTTGGATTAGAGAACAGAGTTGGTTGAAGATTTGAAGTTTAAAGAGCTGGTAATAGCTTCAGAGTCAGGCTCAGCCTGACTCATGCTTGATACCCCCACGCCCCGGGGGATTGAGGATGTGAGGAGGGCAGGGAAATCTGAGAGCCTCCTCCCAGCCCCATAATGCTGTTAACATGTGGGAAAAATTAAAGCTCCCGGCCAGGTACAGTGGCTCACACCTGTAATCCAAGTACTTTGAGGGGCTGAGGTGGGAGGATCGCCTGAGGCCAGCCTGGGCAACATAGTGAGACCCCATCTCTACAAAAAGTACAAACATTAGCTGGGTGTCTGGGCGTGGTGACGCACACCTGTAAGAGAGGCTGAGGCAGGAGGATGACTTTACCACGAGGTCAAGGCTGCGGTGAGCTCATGATCATACCACTGCACTTACTCGGCAACAGAGCAAGACCCTGTCCCTCAAATAAATAAAAGGGAAAAAAAAGCTCCTCACCTCCCACGACACCAGGCGGCTATTCCCTTGTGATGGGGCTGTGTGGGGGGCGGGGGGCTTACCTGGATGGGGGAGCTGCTCTGCTGTCCCTGTGGCCGGGCGAGAGGCAGGCTGTGGAGGCTGAGGGGTGGCCTGGACCCATGTGGCCAGCCCTCTTTCCCACCACTATGGGACAAAATGTTCAGTTCCCCACCACTTACTGGAAACTAAATCCAGGGGAATAGGAAAGGTTCGGGGCCAGCACCGCTCTTTACAGTCACCCCCAGAACCCTCTGGGAGCTGTCAGGTGGCGGAGCCATGCACTGTCTATAAAGCAGCGTCCCAGCCACTGAGCCCCCAGGAGGGCTGAAGAGCCCCGCACAGACCCAGGGGAGAGGCTGCTAGGTTTCTAGTGGCTGTGAGAGCCCAGCGGCCAGGTGGGTGGATATGGCTCCCAGGCCACCTTGACTTTGGCTCCCTGGTCGGCTCACTTGGAGCAAGAGCATGGAGCCCGGCTTCCTCCCAGTGTCACGGCCGCAACGGGCCTCTCACTGCGTATCCAGATGTGAGTGGGGTCAGAGTTCCAGCTGATCATCCCTGCACTGGAGCAGATAAGCCAGCCCGGGGACCAGTGCAGGGTCTCTGCCCCTGGCAGGCTGGGCTGGCCGCTGCACGATGCTCCAGCAATGGGGAGGGACATCTGGAGAACGATGCACATAGAGACTTGAAGGGGAGAGGCCTGGTGAGGCTTGGGGATGCTGTAGAGCAGGAAACCTCCCTCCCCGGGCCCCCTCCGTGCTCGCCCTTCCAGCAGAGCACACTTTAGGAAACTCCATTACCTGGTAAGTTGGTGACATCCGAGTTGGGTCTGTCCTTGAAGCTGCAACACACAGATCCACAGCGACACCTTACCCAATGAGGATGGGGCTGGAGAAGGCCATGCTGGGAGGCTTCTGCCATAGCCTGGCCCCCGTACACTACCCCATAGCCTTGTATATTTCCTTTTTCTTTTTTTTTTTGGGGGGGGGTGGGGGTGCGGAGGCAGGGTCTTGCTCTGTTGCCCAGGCTGGAGTGCAGTGGCGCAATCATGGCTCACTGCAGCCTCGACCTCCTGGGCTCAAGTGATCCTCCCCCTCTGCCTCTCCAGTAGCTGGAACTACAGGCGTGTGCCACCATCCCCAGCTAGTTGTCTTGTTTTGTTTTGATTTTCAGTGGAGATAGAGTCTTGCTATGTTGCCCAGGCTGGTCTCAAACTCCTGGGCTCAAAAGCGATCCGCCTGCCTCAGCCTCCCAAAGCGCTGGGAATAATGGGCATGAGCCCCTCCGCCCAGCTGCCCCATGTGTTTCTGCAGGGCTGGGCCCCAGGAGCCACCGCCTGCAGGGTAAAGTCTGCTTACCTGTGTTTGGGGTGGCAGTTTCCGCATCTGTCAGCACACTTACCTCAGCAGACCTCGACCTCCCTGGGCTCAGATGATTCTCCCACCTCAGCCTCCCCAGTAGCTGGGACTACAGGCACACACCACCAAGCCCGGGTAATTCTTGTATTTTTGTAGAGACAGGGTCTCGCGATGTTGCCCAGGCTGGTCTCGAACTCCTTGGCTCAAGCGATCTGCCCACCTCAGCCTCCCAAAGTGTTGGGATTACAGGTGTGAGCTATAGGTTGTCAGGTTCTACATGGGTTTCGGCTCCTGTCTGGGCCTTGCCCTCCTGGGCCCCACCAGGGCTCTGCAGCATCTGAGGCAAAAAGTCTTAGGCCAGGCGAGGTGGCTCATGCCTATAATCCCAGGACTTAGGGAGGCTGAGGCAGGAGGATCACTTGAGGTCAGGAGTTCAAGACCAGCCTGACCAACATGGCAAAACCCCGTCTCTACTAAAAATACAAAAATTAGCCAGGCGTGATGGTGGGTGCCTATAATCCTAGGTACTCAGGAGGCTGAGGCAGGAGAATCACTTGAGCCCGGGAGGCGGAGGTTACAGTGAGCCGAGATCGCACCATTGCACTCCACCCTGGACAACAGAGTGAGACTCTATCTGGAAAAAAAAAAAAAAAAGTCTGTGTCGATGATCTGCTGGGTGTGGAGTGGGTTCCTCCATGCCAGTGATTTGTGTCCTGCCCTTGACAGGGGTGGGGCATGTTTTCCCTTTAAGGAAATGGCAGCCTCCACCGGAAGTGCAGTCTGTCTCGAGGCTGGTGGGCTTGCTGGCCCGGGGCTTGGTACTGAGGCCACTGCTCAGCCCAAGGGGCAGCCTGGCCTCTTAGGGTTGGCAGAACCAAGGCACTGCCCCAAACGCTTTCCATGGAGTGGTGCCAGTTGCTTGGCACACCTGATTCCTAGCAGCCTCTAGGGTGAAGTGCCAGAGTTAAAAATAATAACAAGGCCTGGTGCGGTGGCTCATGCCTGTAATCCAGCACTTTGGGAGGCGGAGGCCAGCAGATCACTTGAGGCCAGGAGTTTGAAACCAGCCTGGCCAATGTGGTGAAACCCAGTCTCTACTAAAAATACCAAAAAAAAAAAAAAAAGAAAAAAAAAAGAGGCTGGGTGCAGCGGTTCACACCTATAACCCCAGCACTTTGGGAGGCTGAGGCAGGCAGTCACCTGAGGTCAGGAGTTCGAGACCAGCCTGGCCAACATGGAGAAACCCCATCTCTACTAAAAATACAAAAATAAGCCAGGTGTGTTGGTGCATGCCTGTAGTCCCAGCTACTCAAGAGGCTGAGGCAGGAGAATCGTTTGAACCTGGGAGGCAGAGGTTGCAGTAAGCTGAGATCGTGCCACTGCCCTCCAGCCTGGGCAACAAGAGTGAAACTCCATCTCAAAAAACAACAACAATTAACTGGGCATGGTGGTGGTACATGCCTATAGTCCCAGCTTTTCAGGAGGCTGAGGCAGGAGAATTGCTTGAACCCAGGAAGTGGAGGTTGCAGCAAGCTGAGATCATGCCACTGTACTCCAACCTGGGCGATAGAGAGAGACTGTCTCGAAAAAACAAAACAAAACAAAACAAATTCTTTCCTAGAAGGGGGCCTCTACCTCAGTGGGCGACAAAATACAGAACGGGCCAGGCATAGTGGCTCACACCTGTAATCCCAGCACTTTGGAAGGCCAAGGCAGGAGGATCGCTTGAGGCCAGAAGTTCAAGACCACACTGAGCAACATAGCAAGATCCCATCTCTACAAAAAACATTAGCTGGGCATGGTGGTGTGTGCACCTGTAGTCCCAGCTACTTGGGAGGCTGAGGTGGGAGGATTGCTTGTGCCCAGAAGCTGGAGCCTGCAGAGAGCTATGATTGTACCACTGCATTTTGGCTCTGGCCTGGGCAATAGAGCCAGACTGTCTCTAAAATAAACCTATATTTTTAAAAACAGACCGGGCGCAGTGGCTCACACCTCTAATCCCAGCACTTCGGGAGGCCGAGGTGGGCAGATCACAAGGTCAGGAGTTCGAGACCAGCCTGGCCAACATGGTGAAACCCCGTCTCTACTAAAAATACAAAAATTAGCCAAGCATGGTGGTGTGTGCCTGTAATCCCAGCTACTTGGGAGGCTGAGGCACAAGATCGTTTGAACCCAGAGGGAGGAGGCTGCAGTGAGCCAAGATCATGCCACCGCATTCCAGCTTGGGTGACAGAGCCACTCTGAATAAAAAAAAAAAAAAAGCTGTCTGGTGCTTCCTCAGCAGTGCCACCAGCCCACAGGAGGGACCCACCTGTTCCTGCTGCCCCACAGTGACCTGGGGCTGGAGAATGTCCCCAGGCGACCAGTGCTCCAGTGGCTCCTCTCCTGAAGGGGCTGGGGGGACCTCCAAGCCGACCCTGTCCAGGTGGGCTCCGTTGTCACTCAGCCACCCTCTGGGGCTGCCCCTTCCTTTGTTTCTGGAAAGAGAGGGACCTGTCTGGGAGGGGAAGCGGCAGGCAGAGGCACCCTGTGCTCTCGGGGTCCCAGCTGGCTGGAGCCCCATGGCGGCGTGTCTGGACCTGAGCACCCTGCCTCCATTCTACAGATGTCCACGCCCCCTTCCCGGGGCAGCCTGGGAGGACACTGGCCAGTGACCAGTGACAGGAGGCCAGATGGCGCTACAGGAGAAGGTTTTTATGCCATGATGGGGGTCCCCCAGTCAGCAGATGCCAGGGGAGGGCCAGGGGCTGCAGTTTATCCCCTCTGCCCACAGCGTCCCCCCAAGAACAGAAAGACTTTGAATAGCGTCACTGGTTTATTCAGTTTCATCCAGGGCAACTGTTTTAAAAACCCGCACACAGGACAGTGGATGTGTCTGCTGCATGCATAGATCATCAGCACGAGGCGGGTAAGGGCTGCAGCTGAGTCCGGATCCACTCAGGCTTACGTGGTCCGGTCCTCAGCAAACCCTCCTAGAAGACGCGAAAACACATTCTGCCTTCCAAGTTTCTAAACCAGAAACACCTGTGTTTTGAAACAGGTGGTCAGGTACTAAACGGAGAGGGTGTCCCACGTGGGAGGGGCCTTGGCATGTCTAGGCACCGGGAAGACTGTGCTCCAAATTAGGACGGGCCCCGGCTGGCTCCAGGGCAAACTGAGGCAGAGGCCCCAGTTCTTTTTTTTTTTTTTTTTTTTTTTAAACAGAGTCTCTGGCCGGGCACGGTGGCTCAAGCCTGTAATCCCAGCACTTTGGGAGGCTGAGACGGGCGGATCACGAGGTCAGGAGATTGAGACCATCCTGGCTAACACGGTGAAACCCCATCTCTACAAAAAAAATACAAAAAAACTAGCCATGCGAAGTGGCGGGCGCCTGTAGTCCCAGCTACTCGGGAGGCTGAGGCAGGAGAATGGCGTAAACCCGGGAGGTGGAGCTTGCAGTGAGCTGAGATCTGGCCACTGCACTCCAGCCTGGGCGACAGAGAGAGATTCTGTCTCAAAAAAAAAAACAAAAAAACAACAGAGTCTTGTTCTTTACCCAGGCTGGAGTGCAGTGGCGTGATTTTGGCTCACTGCATCCTCTGCCTCCCGGGCTCAAGTGATTCTCCTGCTTCTGCCTCCTGGGTAGCTGGGATTACAGGGGTGTGTCACCACGCCCGGCTAATTTTTGTATTTTTAGTAGAGATGGGGTTTCACCACGTGGGCCAGGCTGGTCTCGAACTCCTGATCTCAGGCGATCCGCCCGCCTCTGTCTCCCAAAGTGCTGTGATTACAGATGTAGCCACCACGCCCGGCCTGGAGGCCTCTGTTCTTAAACACTGTTCAAAGACAGGCTAAACCTCCAGAAACTGAATTTCTAGGCTGCAATGGCGTTCCCCATCGCCCATGCTGCCCCTCAAGGTGTTTCTGCAGCTCCGACAACAGCTCACCCTCCGTCTCCCCACAGGCTCTGGGGTGACCCTGAGGTTTCCTCTCCCAGCCACCATGGCCCTACCCATGGTCACTGCTATTCCCACAGCAATGGTTTGCCTCATTCCTCGAAACTAGAAAGTCTGGAGCTGGGAGAACAAGAACTCTAGGAGAAAGAGAACAGGAAATTCCAACACCGTCATCCTCCTAATCAGAGAGCTAGACTTGAATGTGGCTCCGTCCCCACCCACGTGCCACCATCATTGGGCACTTAATACCTGCCTGGATGCTGCCAGGTCAAGAACTCTGCCTGGGGACCAGGTACACTAACTGGCCCCCAGATGGCACTGGAGATGCGTTCCATAGTCTGGGGAGTGTGGCACTGCGTGGGCAGGGGCACAGATGCTGCAGGAAGGTGGGAGGCAGGAGAAGGCCCAGGAGGGCCCCTCCCAAAAGGCTCAGGCCAGGGTAAGAGGCTGCCGCCTCTCCCAGCCACGAGGAGCCATTCATTTAGAAGAGCCAGCCTGTCTTGACCCAAAGTCACTCCTTGGAGGGACACTGACATGCTGACATTCTTTTCTTTTTCTTTCTTTCTTTTTTTTTCAGAGACAGGGTTTCACTCTGTCACCCAGGCTGGAGTACAGTGGCACGATCTTGGCTCACCACAACCTCTGCCTCCTGGGTTCAAATGATTCTCCTGCCTCAGCCTCCCAAGTAGCTGGGATTACAGGTGAGCACCACCATGCCCAGCTAATTTTTTGTATTGTTAGTAGGGACAGAGTTTCACCATGTTGGCCAGGCTGGTCTCAAACTCCTGACCTCAAGTGATCCACCCACCTCGGTTTCCCAAAGTGCTGAGATTACAGGCGTGAGCCACCGTGCCCGGCCAGTAGCGCAATCATAGTTCGCTACAGCCTCTACTTCCCCAGCTCAAGCAATCCTCCTGCCTCAGCCTCCCAAGTAGCTGGAACTACAGGCATGCACTACCACGCCCAGCTAATTTATTTTTATTTAATTTATTTATTATTTTTTGAGACAGAGTTTTGCTCTGTCGCCCAGGCTGGAGTGCAGTGGCACGATCTCGGCTCACTGCAACCTCTGCCTCCTGGATTCAAGCAATTCTCTTGCCTCAGCCTGCCAAGTAGCTGGGATTACAGGTACCCACCACCATACCCGGCTAATTTTTTGTATTTTTACTAGAGATGGTTTCACCATGTTGTTGCCGAGGCTGGTCTTAAACTCCTGATCTCAAGTGATCTGCCCACCTCGGCCTCCCAAAGTGCTAAGATTACAGGCATGAGCCATTGCACCTGGCCTGGCTAATTTAAAATGATTTTTTTAGAGATGGGGTCTTGCTATGTTGCCCAGGCTGGTCTCGCACCCCTAGGCCCACGTGATCTTCCCTCCTCGGCCTTCCAAAGTGGTGGGATGACAGGCGTGCTCCGCCTTGCCTGGCCAACACCGACGTTCTTTAGCAAAGCAAACATATTAAACCATAAGAGGTGTTTCTACAGGCTGCAGGAAAGTACAGACGTGCTGGAGGGCAAGGGTCGCAGACAGATGTCTGCAGGGGACACAAAGGATGAGCCCCTCAGAAGACACAGGGCTCTTCTCCGGCCCCCAAGGATGCCACAACTTTCTCGTGGGGACCCTCGGCGTGACTCCCCAAGGGCCCCTCAGCACGGGGAATTGCGTGTCAGGGTCTCTGTTCTCTGCTGCAGCCACATTTCCAGAGACCCCAACCAGGCCACCCAGAATTCCATGGCACAGCCAACCCGGACCCCGGAGAGAGCGTAAGCTTTTACAAGAGATGTGATCAGAGCACGAAGAAGCCCAGTGACTTTTTTTTTTTTTTTTTTGTAGATGAAGTTTCGCTCTTGTTGCCCAGGCTGTAGTGCAATGGCATGATCTCGGCTCACTGCAACCTCTGCCTCCTGGGTTCAAGTGATTCTCCTCCTGCCTCAGCCTCCTGAGTAGCTGGGACTACAGACCCGCCACCACACCCGGTTAATTTTTTTTTTTTTGGAGATGGAGTCTCGCTCTGTCGCCCAAGCTGGAGTGCAGTGGCGTGATCTCAGCTCACTGCAAGCTCCGCCTCCCAGGTTCACGCCATTCTCCTGCCTCAGCCTCCCAAGTAGCTGGGACTACAGGCGCCCGCCACCACGCCCGGCTAATTTTTTGTATTTTTTATAGAAACGGGGTTTCACCATGTTGGCTAGGCTGGTCTCGAACTCCTGACCTCAAGTGATCCGCCCGCCTTGGCCTCCCAAAGTGCTGGGATTACAGGCGTTAGCCATTGCGCCCGGCCTAATTTTTGTATTTTTAGTAGAGGTGGGGTTTCACCATGTTGGCCAGGCTGATCCGGAACTCCTGACCTCAGGTGATCCACCCACCTTGGCCTCCCAAAGTGCTGGGATTACAGGCATGAGCCACTGCGCCTGGCCCCAGTGACTATGAGAACAAAAGACAAGGCATGGCTGGCATTCCAGGTTACAGCTGGAGAAGAGGGGAAAGGTGGTTGGTTGTACAAGCAGCTCAGGGAAGCTGGTGCTGCGGCGTGCGTACACGGCCCAAGAGTGTGGCTTTGGGTCTACCAGATGCCCTTAGGGAAAAGGCCAGAACCCGCACTGCACAGCGCAGTCACCGTGTGTGGTGGGACCCAGTGTCGGCTGAGAGGCCTGGAGGGGTCTTGCTTCCCTTGTAGTCACTCGGTGTCATAACAAGGAGGGCACTCATTTGGCCTGGGCCAACCCCTGGCCCCACTATCCACAGGCCAGGCCAGGCCAATGGCCTTGCCTAGACAGGAAGTCCCCCAGGATGTCCGCTCGCTGCCTGGGGCCACAGGAAGCTGCACAGGCTCCGGGGCCTGAGCCAAAGCCTCTGCCTCGGGCTGCCACAGCCCAGGGGAGTGGCTGAGTCAGCCTCAGAGGCCATTCTGTGGCTGACAGCTGGAGGCCGCTGGCTGTGGGGGAAGGATCCTTTCCCCACCCTGGTGGCCCCACTGAGTCCGTGTGGCCAGGGCTCTCTCTGGCTGAGAAAAGAGAATTTGAGCCTAGCATACTATGCAGCAGCCCTCAAATAATTCAACTTCCTCATGCGGGTGTCTCGTAGATGCCCGTGAACATGTCTCCTCCGGCTCAGCCAGGCCGCGCCCCCGATGGAAACATCCCCGGGGGCCTGACACCACTGCCAAGGGCTGCAGCACCCCCCGCACTTGCTGGGCTGACGTGTGTCCTGGCTCCTGTCTTCCCCTGAAGCCAGGCCACCCAGCTTCCTCCAGGGCCAGGCAGGGAAGCACCAAGCCCTGCCGTGCACCTGCACCCACTCAAATGCCGCAGCCCTCGTGTCATCACTGTCACACGGGCCACTCAGCATCCACGAAGCCCACCACGGGTCTCTGGGGCAATCGTTCTCTGAAAGCAAAAGCCTGCCCTGGCTCTCCCAGGCCCACCAGCCACGCATGCCGGGTCTGAGCACCCACTGGGTGCTGCTTGGAGGCCCTCCTGGCCCAGGACTGATGGGCAGATCCCACTGTAGCCTCTTCACTGTGTCCCCGACCCAGGAAACCCTGAGGCCAAGGAACCAGCCTGGTTTTGCCCCCAATACTCTTAGCAACACAGTCCCTCGTTGAACCAGATGGTTCCATCTCAGGAGAAGTCATCCAGTGCTTATGGTATTAAGACAAGAGGAAAACTTTGGTCTTGAACTACCCGGCAGCCTTGCAAAATGTCTGCATCTGACAAATCCCCGCCTCTGCGGGCTCCCGGGCACAGGGCCGCCCCCAGCCCCGGCCCTCAGCCCCTCACACGACCTGCAGGCTGCGCTCATGCCCGTCCAGCTGGACCTTGAGCTTGTGGAGCTCCTCGATCTCGCGGTTGTGGCGCTCCGTTTTGTGGCGCACCAGAGAGCGGTAGAAGTGGATGGTGAAGACCACGAAGATGAGGCCCACGGGCACCATGATGATGGTGGACACCAGCGCGGCCTGCCAGCCCGTGTGGCTCCCGGGGCCGGGCGGGGGGCCAGGCTGGCGCCGGGCGTCCACAGGGAGGAACTTGATCCAGCAGAGCAGCACCACCTCGGCCAAGAAGAGCAGGATGCCTAGCACGGTGGAGAAGCCCCAGGCGAGCTCGATGTAGGGGTGCATGCGCTCATGCGGAGACTCGCTGATGGAGTTCAGGTTGTGGATGTTGCTCACGGCCTCCACGTTGGGCAGGATGCAGGTGCTGATGAGGAGGGCGAACAGGTGCACGGCCACCAGCACCGTGGTGCAGGCGCTGAAGGCAATCAGCAGCGGCCGAGGGTACTGGTACTGCGTCTCCAGCTGCACCTCCACCATGGCCACCTGTGGGGACAGCAGACAGGTGGTGCTGGGTGTGGGGAGGGCAAGGCGTGGCCCCACCAGGGCCACCTGCCAGGCAGAGCAGGGGCTGGGCCAGGTTCGGGGGACAGGGTAGCCATGGGCTCTCCTGCTGGCGGGACTCACCCATGTTCTGGGCCCTTGAAGACCAGCGGGCAACCTCCTCACTGATCAAATGTTTCACATTTTCCTTTGTTCTAATTAGCTAAAGAAGACTGCACTGAGAAAAAAAATCTCAACAGTACAGAAGAGGCCAGTGTGGTGGCTCATGCCTGTAATCCCAGCACTTTGGGAGGCCGAGGCGGGTGGATCACTCGAGGCTAGGAGTTGGAGACCAGCCTGGTCAACATGGTGAACCCCCGTCTCTACTAAAAATACAAAAAGTAGCTGGGCGTGGTGGCAGGCACCTGTAATCCCAGCTACTCGGGAAGCTGAGGCAGAAGAATCGCTTGAACCTGGGAGGCGGAGGTTGCAGTGAGCCAAGATCGTGCCACTGCACTCTAGCCTGGGCGACAAAATGAGACTCTGTCTCAAAACAAAACAAGCCACAAAAGTTTAAAAAAGAAAGGAAAAAGAAAGAAAGAGAGAGAGGAAGGAAGGAAGGAAGGGGAGGAGGGAGGGAGGGAAAAACTGGCCGAGTACAATGGTTCATGCCTGTAATACCAGTGGTTTGGAAGGTTGAGGCAGGAGGATCACTTGAGGCCAGGAATTCCAGGCTGCTGTGAGCCCCGATCACACCACTGCACTCCAGCCTGGGGAACAGAGGGAGACCCTGTCTCTACAAAAAATATACAACATTAGCTAGGCTTGGTGGCACATGCCTGTAGTCCCAGCTACTGGGGAGACTGAGGTGGGAGGATCGCTTGAATCCAGGAGATCCAGGCTGCAATGAGCTATGATCACACCATTGCACTTCAGCCCATGTGACAGAGCGAGACCTCGTCTCTACAAAAAAAGGAAACTGACCTTTCAAAGTTAAAAATTGGCCAGGCACGATGACTCAGGCCTATACTCCTTCCTTTGGGAGGCAGAGGCAGGAGGATCGCTTGAACCCAGGAGTTTGAGACTAGCCTGGGCAACATAGTGAGAGCCCATCTTGACAAAAAAAAAACCCTGACCTTTTAAAATATAACAACTGAAACTGCCGACAGTCCCCAGACTCAGAGCTGAACACCTGGATGGCCTCAGACAGACCACGTGGTGCCTCCTCAGCAGAGGCCAAAAGCCCAGCGAGAGCCAGCACCTCGAAAGCCCAGGAAAAGTGATGGAAGTGAGGCCGAGGGTGAGGAGGGAAAGGAGGCATGGCTGGGTCTCCTGAGGAAGCAAAATCATCAATCACAGTCAGAGGTTACAGCAGGTATGGTCTAAAACGGACAAACTAAGGAATCGCAGGCTCTGCTTGGTGTCTTGAAATGTGAGGTCAGCCAGGCGCGGTGGCTCATGCCTGTAATCCCAGCACTTTGGGAGGGCGAGGCGAGTGGATCACTTGAGGTCAGGAGTTGGAGACCAGCCTGGCCCACACGGTGAAATCCTGTCTCTACTAAAAATACAAAAAATTAGCTGGTCCTGGTGGCGGGCGCCTGTAATCCCAGCTACTCGGGAGGCTGAGGCAGGAGAATCGCTTGAAGCCAGGAAGCAGAGGTTGCAGTGAGCGGAGATCATGCCACTGTACTCCAGCCTAGGCGACAGAGCAGGACTCTGTTTCAAAAAAAAAAAAAGAAGAAAGAAGCCAGGGGAAGATTCTTCTACCCACTGTGTTTCCCTCCTAGACCTAAGCCATCCCTGTTTAAAAAAAAAAAAAAACAAAAAAAACTCAGGCCAGGTGCGGTGGCTCATGCCTGTAATCCTAGCACTTTAGGAAGCCAAGGGGGTACGGATCACTTGAGGTCAGGAGTTTGAGAGCAGCCTGGCCAACATGGCAAAAACTCTCTGTGAAAAATACAAAAATGAACCGGGCATGGTGGCTTGTGCCTGTAATCCCAGCTACTCGGGAGGCTGAGGCAGGAGAATCGCTTGAATCCGGGAGGCAGAGGTTTCAGTGAGCTGAAATCATGCCACTGCACTCCAGCCTGGGTGACAAAGTGAGACCCTGCCACAAAAAAATAAATAAATAAAATAAAATAAAAAATAACTCAGGAGGCTGGGCCCCAGAGTTGGAGGCTGCAGTGACCTATGAATGCACCACTGCACCCCAGCCTGGGCAATAGAGCGATATCCTGTCTGGGAACGAATAAAGTAAAAAATAAAATAAAATAATATATATGAAGATTTCATAATGTCCTTTAGCAACTGCCACCTCTTAGTGGTGATGGAACGCTTCCTAGATAAAAGAAGATATGGCCGGGCGCGGTGGCTCACGCCTGTAATCCCAGCCCTTTGGGAAGCTGAGGTGGGCAGATCACTTGAGGTTAGGAGCTCGAGACCAGCCTGACCAACGTGGCAAAACCCCATCTCTACTAAAAATACAAAAATTAGCTGAGCATGGTGGTGGACACCTGTAGTCCCAGCTACTCGGGAGGTTGAGGCAGGAGAATCTCTTGAACCCGGGAGGCGAAGGTTGCAGTGAGCCAGATTGCACCACTGCACTCCAGCCTGGGCGACAGAGTGAGACTATATTTCAAAAAAAAAAAAAAAAAAAAAAGACGACATGGCAGTCCTAGTAGACCAGAGCTGAACAGCAACTCACCAATAATACGGCTGGGGCTATTGTGAAACGCATCCAAAAACCAGTAGCCACAGAACATGGGCTGAGGGATGGTTTTTCTCAGTGTGGCCCTGGCTTGGCTATGGTCACCTCAAAGGATATGGCCCAAGTGACAAATATTACAAACCACAGAGGCCTCCAAGACAGGAAATAAAGATGATTACGAGGTAGCGGGCAGAGCTCACAAAAAGTGGTTTTGTTCCGCCTTAAGAGGAGAAAAGGGACTGAGTGAGCGGCCTCACACCTGTGATCCCAGCACTTTGGAAGGCTAAGGCGGGAGATCACTTAAAACCAGGAGTTCAAGACCAGCCCGGGCAACAAAGCGAGACCCCATCTCTATTAAAAAAAAAAAAAAAGAAGAAGAAGAAAAGAGGAAAGTTTTTACTGTGTTTATGCAGAATTATTTTTAATTTAAATTACATTTTTTGTCTGTTTGTTTGTTTTGAGACGGAGTCTCGCTCTGTCGCCCAGGCTGGAGTGCAGCGGCCGGATCTCAGTTCACTGCAAGCTCCGCCTCCCGGGTTTACGCCATTCTCCTGCCTCAGCCTCCCGAGTAGCTGGGACTACAGGCGCCCGCCACCCCGCCCGGCTAGTTTTTTGTATTTTTTTAGTAGAGACGGGGTTTCATCATGTTCGCCAGGATGGTCTCGATCTCCTCACCTCATGATCCGCCCATCTCGGCCTCCCAAAGTGCTGAGATTACAGGCTTGAGCCACCGCACCCAGCCTTTTTTTTTTTTTAAGTGAGACAGAGTCTCGCTCTGTTGCCCAGGCTGGAGTGCAATGGCGCTATCTCGGCTTACTACCTCTGCTTCCTGGGTTCAAGCGATTCTCCTTCCTCAGTCTCCCCAATAGCCCACTGTGGCTGACTAATTTTTTTTTTTTTTAAGATGGAGTCTTGCTCTGTTGCCCAGGGTGGAGTGCGGTGGCATGATCTCGGCTCACTCCAACCTCCCCTTCCCAGGTTCAAGTGATCCTCCCGCTTCACCCTCCTGAGAAGCTGGGGTTACAGGTGCCAGCCACCACACCTGGCTTTTTTTTTTTTTTTTTGAGATGGAGTTTTGCTCTGCCACCGAGGCTGGAGTGCAGTACAGCGATCTCAGCTCACTGCAACCTTCGCCTCCCGGGTTCAAGTGATTCTCGTGCCTCAGCCTCCCGAGTAGGTGGGACTACAGGCGTGTGCCACCACACATGGCTAATTTTTTGTTTTTTTAGTAGAGACGGGGTTTCACCGTGTTAGCCAGGGTGGTCTCCATCTCTTGACCTCGCGATCTGCCCGCCTCAGTCTCCCAAAATGCTCAGATTACAGGTGTGAACCACTGCGCCTGGCCTAAGTTCTGTATTTTCAGTAGAGACAGTGTTTCACCAGGTCAGCCAGGATGGTCTCCAACTCATGACCTCAGGTGATCTGCTCACCTCGGTCTCCCAAAATGCTGGGATTACAGGCATAAGCCATGGTGCCCGGCCCTCCTTTTCATATTTTTAGTAGAGACTGGGTTTCCCCATGTTGGCCAGGCGATCTGGAACTCCTGACCTCAAGTGATCGGCCAGCCTCAGTCTCCCAAAGTGCTGGGATTACAGTGAACCACCGTGCCTGGCCTATGTAGAGGTTTTATGAGGGGGGCCTCGGATCACTGGTTCTCCGTGTTGGGGGAAGAATATGCATCAAGAAATAAGCTTCAGGTTAGGCACAAGCACGCGTTGCTAGACAAAGGAACAGCTTTGCAATTCTAATGAGGGAAGACACACTATAAAGGCGAACTCTTCCTAGCAATCTGTACCTTTGCCTGTTCCCAGGGCCCTGCCCCGACTCAGCTAGTTTCTGATGATTTGTACTTGTCACTTATTTTTCCCAAGCTGCCCTGCAGTCTGAAGAATGATCTGACCTAATGATGCTATGCTAATCTAATCAAGCAGGTGCACTGCGGCTCCCCCCGGGTCTCAGCTCCACGCCAGACGGTTCATGTGCTTCCCACTGCAGCTGGTGCTCTGTATCTCTGAGTTCCACATCTGCAGATTCAACCCACCGCGGGTCAAAAATACTTGGGGGAAAAAACAAAATGAAACAACAATATTTTCCCCTTGGCATAAGGTGAAGAAAAAAATAACAAACAAACATACAAAACCTAGCCTGGGCAACACAGCAAGACCCACCTCTTTTTTTTTTTTTTTTTTGAGATGCAGTCTTGCTCTGTCGCCCAGGCTGGAGTGCAGTGGCGCCATCTCAGCTCAGTGCAGCCTCCCATCCCGGGTTCAAGCAATTCTCCGTCTCAGCCTCCAGAGTAGCCAGGATTACGGGCACCTGCTACCTCGTCCGTCTAATTTTTGTATTTTTTTTTTTTATTTTTTTTTTGAGACAGAGTGTCACTCTGTCGCCCAGGCTGGAGTGCAGTGGCTGGATCTCAGCTCACTGCAAGCTCCGCCTCCCGGGTTCACGCCATTCTCTTGCCTCAGCCTCCGGAATAGCTGGGACTACAGGCGCCCGCCACCTCACCCGGCTAGTTTTTTTTTTTTTTTTTTTTTTTTTTTTTTTTGAGACGGAGTCTCGCTGTGTCTCCCAGGCTGGAGTGCAGTGGCGTGATCTCGGCTCACTGCAAGCTCCGCCTCCCGGGTTCACGCCATTCTCCTGCCTCAGCCTCCCAAGTAGCTGAGACTACAGGCGCCCGCCACCACGCCCGGCTAGTTTTTTGTATTTTTAGTAGAGACGGGGTTTCACCATGTTAGCCAGGATAGTCTCGATCTCCTGACCTCGTGATCCACCCGCCTCGGCCTCCCAAAGTGCTGGGATTACAGGCTTGAGCCACCGCGCCCGGCCTTGTATTTTTTTTAGTAGAGACGGGGTTTCACCATCTTGGCCAGGCTGGTCTTGAACACCTGACCTCGTGATCCGCCCGTCTTGGCCTCGCAAAGTGCTGGGATTACAGGCGTGAGCCACGGAACCCAGCCTCCACCTCTTCTTTTTTTGAGATGGAGTCTCGCTCTGTCACCCAAGCTGGAGTGCGGTGGCGCCATCTTGGCTCACTGCAACCTCCACCTCCCAGGTTCAAGTGATCTTCCTGCCTCAGCCTCTTGAGTAGCTGGGATTACAGGCACGTGCCACCAAGCCCGGCTAATTTTTGTATGTTTAGTAGAGACAGGGTGCCACCATGTTGGCTAGGCTGGTCTCGAACTCCTGACTTGAGGTGATCTGCCCGCCTCAGCCTCCCAAAGCGCTGGGATTACAGGCATGAGCCACCGCGCCCAGTCAGCTTTTTCTTTTAAATTGTATCATCAGTCTAACAATTGAGCCTCTGGCCTATAGAAAAACAATAGAGGCCGGGTGTGGTGGCTCACACCTGTAATACCAGCACTTCGGGAGGCCGAGGTGGGTGGATCACCTGAGGTTAGGAATTCAAGACCAGCCTGGCCAACATGGTGAAACCCCATCTCTACTAAGAATACAAAAATTAGCCGGGTGTGGTGACGTGTGCTTGTAGTCCCAGCTACTTGGGAGGCTGAGGCAGGAGAATCACTTGAATTCAGGAGGCGGAGGTTGCAGTGAGCCCAATTCACACCACTGCACTCCAGCCTGGGTGACAGAGCAAGACTCCATCTCAAAACAAAAACAAACAAAAAGAAAAACAATAATTGTTTTCACATAAGGAAACAGGCTGGACAAGGTGTAATGCTAGCACTTTGGGAGGCCGAGGTGAGAAAATCACCTGAGAGTTCAAGACTGCAGTGAGCCATGATTGCACCCCTGCACTCCAGCCTAGGCAACAGAGCAGAGAACTTGTCTCTAAAAAAAAAAAAAAAAATTAGCCAGGCGTGGTGGCACGTGCCTATAATTCCAGCTACTCAGGAGGCTGAGACAGGCGGATGGCTTGAGCCCAGGAAGTAGAGGCTGCAGTGAGCCATGATCACACCACTGCCTTCTCCAGCCTGGGCAACAGACAGGGACCGTCTCTAAAAACAAAACAACAACAAAAAAATCACTTCCGCCCAATAGGACCTGTAAGCACACTGTTGTGTCCTCACTGTGAGTCCTTAACCTCTGGGACAATTCCCTCCAGGGGTGTGGGTCAGCGGCTTTGGAGTCAACAGGAGATGGGCCCCTTGTCAGAGCCACAGCTTTGTCCGAAACTGACTCTTGTCCTAGGGGATGACTCAGAGGGAAGGCGGCCACCGGGAGCCAGGCCAAAAGCTCTGCTTTGTCACCCTGGAGTTCACATTCCAGGAACTTCTGCATGGCTAACTGGGCTAAACTGATCCAACCCCAATCAATCCCTGGGGCCTGCTCAGAGATCCCTGAGAGCTCCAAACGTTTGGGTGGTGCCCGAGACGGGGCAGACGTGGGCACTTTTCTCCAGGAAACCCTGTACCATGCAGCGATTTGATTTGATTTTATCTTTTTAATTAATTAATTAATCTATTTATTTTGAGACAAAGTCTCACTCTTGACCAGGTTGGAGTATAGTGGTGTGACCTTGGCTCACTGCATCCTCCGGCCTCCCAGGTTCAAGCAATTCTTTTGTCTCAGTCTCCCGAGTAGCTGGGATTACAGGCGCCTGCCACCATACCCAGCTTGTTTTTTTGTACTTTTAGTAGAGATGGTGTTTCACTGTGTTGGCCAGGCTGGTCTTGAAGTCCTGATCTCAAGTGATCCACCCACCTCGGCCTCCCAAAGTGTTGGGATTACAGGCATGAGCCACTGCGCCCGGCCAAAATAAAGAAATAAATACATTTTATTTTTTCTTTTTGGAGATGGGGTCTCACTCTGACGTCCAGGCTGGAGTGAAGTCATGTGATCATAACGCATTGAGGCCTCGGCCTCCTGGGCTCAAGTGATCCTCCCGCCTCAGCCTCCCAAATACCTGGGGCTATAGGTACGTGCCACCAAGTCTGGATAATTATTTATTTTTGTAAAGACAGGGGTCTTGTCTTGCTGTGTTGCCCAGGCTGGTCTCAAACTCCTGGCCTCAAGCTATTCTCCCACCTTGGCCTCCCAAAGTGCTGGGATTACAGGTGTGAGTCACTGCACCTGAGCTACTATAATTATCCTGCACCAACCTCCCTCCTTGCTAAGCAAGTACATGATGTGAACAGGACAGAGTGGGCTTTCTGAAGATTCTAGGGCTGGGAGCCCCTGGCATACACTCAGCACCCTCACTCACATTGACAGTCGCCCAAGTCCCATCTGGTGGGACTTGGGCGGATGCTTTCCACTGGTCCATCCTGGCTGCCAGAGACTGGAGGGAACGCTTTGGTCCCCGAGGCATCCCAGGACCTCAGTTAGCAAAGCCCGTCTGACCAGCGAGCTCCTCACCTGGCGTGCACACTCACCATGGCGAAGCCGGAGAGGAGGGCGGAGGTCCTGCTGGAGGCCTTCAGCTTGGCCCTGCTTAGGTAGAGCTTCCGCCACGACAGGGCCTGTACTGAGTGGTGGTTGGAGGTGACCAGTTCCAGGTAGCTGCGGCGGACCCAGTCCCGGTAATCCATGCCCTTGTGGCCGGGCTCCGGGCAGGCAGGAGTAGAGGGGTCGACAGGCACGTTGAGCTCAGCGCTCATGGTGGGAGCCAGGCTGAAGGTGGGAGAGAGACATGCTCAGGTATCCTAGGTTACTGCAGCCTGGAAGAGCTAGACTCTAAGCCCATTCAACCTACAGGGGCTGCCCAGGGGTTTAGAAAGTGCCCAGGACCTAAAGTTATGATTGTTTGTTTGTTTGCTTTTGAGACAGTGTCTCGCTCTGTCGCCCAGGCTGCAGTGCAGTGGGGCAATCTCACCTCACTGGAAACTCTGGCTCCCAGGTTCAAGTAATTCTTCTGCTCAGTCTCCCGAGTAGCTGGGATTATAGGTGTGCGCCACCACGCCCAGCTAATTTTTGTATTTTTAATACAGACAGGGTTTCATCATGTTGGCCAGGCTGGTCTTGAACTCCTGACCTCAAGTGATCTGCCTGCCTCAGCCTCCCAAAGTGCTGGGATTACAGGTATGAGCCACTGCGCCCAGCCTCCAGGACCTAAAGTTCTGAAACCTGGATTTGACTCTACTGTGTGATTCTGAGCATGACAGCTGACCTTTCTTAGCTGGCTCTTTCATCTTGAGAATGGGGATATTTCCACCTATAGGACTTTTAATTTATTTTATTTTACATATTTTTTTGAGACAGTCTCGCTGAGTCACCCAGGCTGGAGTGCAGTGGTGCAATCTCTGCTCACTGCAACCTCTGACTCCCAGATTCAAGTGATTCTCCTGCCTCAGCCTCCCAAGTACCTGGGACTACAGGCATCCGCCACCACACCTGGCTAATTTTTGTATTCTTAGTAGAGATGGAGTTTCACCATGTTGGACAAGCTGGTCTCGAACTCCTGACCTCAGGTGATGCAACTGCCTCAGGCTCCCAAGATGATGAGATTACAGGTGTGAGCCACCGTGCCTGGCCTTCAACTTAAATTTTGATCATTACAGTTCACCCTAAGAAAAATACTGGACTTACAAAACTAAAGCCACATCCAGGCTACAAGGCAAACTTTTAGCAAGATGAAAAATGAAATCCACCAACTCACATGACCACATTTTAAGGAGAAACAGACGGCGGAGATGCCTGGACTCATACCTGGTAGACATCTGGTTTGACCAACATGGATTAAACATCAGAAGGACGGATCTGTCAAGATTTGTGAATTTAAACCTAAATCTCCACTAAGTAGGGGATTGGCGGTCGCGTGTGTCCCAAGGAGCTGGGCTGCTCGGCCGCATGCCAGGATCCAGTTCTAATTAATCTGCAGGGCGTGCTTCAAGGGCACAGGCACCTTGTGGTTTACTTGGCATCAGAAAGAGTGACTTTTCCAGCCTGGCCAACATGGTGAAACCCTGTTTCCACTAAAAATACAAAAATTAGCTGGGCGTGGTGGTGGGTGCCTGTAATCCCAGTGACTGGGGAGGCTGAGGCAGAGGCAAGAGAATCGCTTGAACCCAGGAGGTGAGGTTACAGTGAGCCAAGACTGTGCCACTGCACTCCAGCCTGAGTGACAGAGCAGAACTCTGTCTCAAGAAAGGAAAAGGAAGGAGAGGAGAGGAGAGGAGAGGAGAGGAGAGGAGAGGAGAGGAGAGGAGAGGAGGGAGAGGGAGGGGAGGGGAGGGGAGGGGAGGGGAGGGGAGGGGAGGGGAGGGGAGGGGAGAGGAAAGGAAAGGAAAGGGGAAAGGAAAGGAAAGAGGAAAGGAAAGAGGAAAGGAAAGAAGAAAGGAAAGAGGAAAGGAAAGGAAAGAAGAAAGGAAAGAGGAAAGGAAAGGAAAAAGGAAAAATGAAAGGAAAGGGAAGGAAAGGAAAGGGAAGGAAAAAGGAAAGGAAAGGGAAGGAGGCCGGGCGCGGTGGCTCAAGCCTGTAATCCCAGCACTTTGGGAGGCCGAGACGGGTGGATCATGAGGTCAGGAGATCGAGACCATCCTGGCTAACACGGTGAAACCCCATCTCTACTAAAAAATACAAAAAAAAAAAAACTAGCCGGGTGAGGTGGCGGGTGCCTGTAGTCCCAGCTACTCGGGAGGCTGAGGCAGGAGAATGGCGTGGACCCGGGAGGCGGAGCTTGCAGTGAGCTGAGATCCGGCCACTGCACTCCAGCCTGGGAGATAGAGCGAGACTCCATCTCAAAAAAAAAAAAAAAAAGGAAAGGGAAGGAAAAAGGAAAGGAAAGGAAAAAGGAAAGGAAAAAGGAAAGGGAAGGGAAGGAAAGGAAAGGAAAGGGAAGGAAAGGGAAAGGAAGGAAAGGGAAGAGAGTAACTTCTATGTCCAGGCCCACATAGGCCCCATGGAAAGTCTGCTTCAGGCTGTTACACACAGATCCGTGTTCTAGGTCCCAGGGAGTGTGGCTGGGGTGGATGGGTGGAGTGGGGGGGTGCTTAACAGGGTCAGCAGCTGAGGAAATGCCCCAAACTTAGTCCATCCATGCCAGAGTTGAGCCCCCATAATTGAAAATGCCCTAATTTGAAAATTACGCAGGAAGGTGCTGGAGGTGGAAAATCATGTCGCCTTTCCCTTTGTTCTCAACAAGGCTGCAAAGCCACAGCCTTCCCTGGCCAACAGGCCCTCTGGGAACAGTTCTGTGCTATTTCTGCCAGGGGATGCCAATTACCAGGTCATTTATACGAATGCCAACTTGGGCTCTCCGTCCCATCTCCTCATGCACATCCGTAGCCAGCAGCACCGCGTCCAAGCACTTCCATCCCTGGGCGTACCTTCCCTTGGGGAGAATTCAGAGAAACACTGCAATCCATAGGTTAGCTCCACATAATGGAAAATGCTATAATTTGGAAACTGCATTTTTCCTCTTCCCTCACCCCCATAGTTAACAGAATTGAGCGTGCAGGTCTGATGACCCCAGTATACGGAGACTGCAGGGGTGAGACGCTAACCTTTGCTCCCTCCATCCTCCCTCCTCCATCACACAGGTGCTGAGCACACTTGGCACTTAAGGATCCAAGATGAAAGAGGCCAGAATTCATGGCCTCCCAGTAGGGGAGCAAGATAAGGGGATGTGGGTCGGAGCCGTGGTTCAAACCTGTCCTCCCAGCACTTTGGGAGGCTGAGGTGGGCGGATCACTAGAGGTCAGGAGTTTGAGACCAGCCTGGACAACATGGTGGAACCCTGTCTCTACTAAAAATACAAAAATTAACTGGGCGTGGTGGCGGGTGCCTGTAATCCCAGCTACTCAGGAGGCTGAGGCAGGAGAATCACTTGAGCCAGGGAGGTGAAGGTTGCAGTAAGCTGAGATTGCAGCACTGCACTCTAGCCTGGGCCACAAAGCGAGACTCCGTCTCAAAAAATAAAAGAAAATAAAATAAAATTTAAAAAAAGTCAGGCGCAGTGGCACATGCCTGTAATCCCAGCACTTTGGGAGGCTAAGACAGGTGGATCACTAGAAGTCAGGAGTTCAAGACCTGTCTGGCCAACATGGTGAAACCCCATCTCCACTAAAAATACAAAAATTGGCCAGGTGTGGTGGCATGCACTTGTAGTCCCAGCTACTCAGGAGGCTGAGGCAGGAGAATCACTTGAGTCCGGGAGGCAGAGGTTGGAGTGAGCTGAGACTGTACCACGGCACTCCAGCCTGGGTGACAGAGTGAGACTCTGTCTTAAAAAAAGAAAAGAAAAAAAAAAATAGCCGGGTGTGCTGACAGAGTTTGCAGTGAGGCGAGAGCACACCATTGCACTCCAGCCTGGGCGACAGAGCAAGACTCCATCTCAAAAAAAAAAAAAAAAAAAAAAAAGAGGTGGGGGCAATCCTCATCCACTGAGCTAAAGGCTTCAGTGGAAGGCAGGGAGCAGAGGACTGGCTGCCTCACACCAAGGCCAGGAAAAGGTGCCTGCAGATAACACCGCAGAGGGGACACAGCAGCCCTTTGCAGGCCAAAGTGCCTCACACCTGTAATCCCAGTGTTTTGTAAGGCCAAGGTGGGAGGATCACTTGAGGACAGGAGCTGGAGACCAGCCTAGGCAACATAGTAAGAAGCTGTCTCTAAAAATAATTTTTTTTTGAGATGGGGTCCTGCTGTGTTGCCAAGGCTGGAGTGCAGTGGCACGATCTCGGCTCCCTGCAAACTCTGCCTCCCAGGCTCAAGCGATCCTCCCTCCTCAACCTCCCAAGTAACTGGGACTACAGGTGTGTGCCACCACACCTGGCTAATTTTTTATTTTCGGTAGAGACAGGGTTTTGCCACGTTGGCCAGGCTGGTCTAGAACTCCTGAGCTCAAGGGATCTGCCCACCTTGGCCTCCCAAAGTGCTAAGATTACAGGCGTGAACCACTGCATGTGGACTCTAAAAAGAATTTCAAAAAAGAGGGACCGTTCCTCAAAGACAAGACGCTGCACGCATGGAAAGATTCTGAGAGACCGGAAGGCCACTCCAGGTGTATGTGTGGGGTGGCTCCCCTTGTCCAGGAGATAAGTAGGGAAGGTAGCTGCCACCTGGGGGGTGGAGGGGGCAGGGAGATGTGGGTGGAAGACACTTGGAGCCTGGGGCTGTGGAATGAGCCAGAGGGTCTGGGCAGCATGACTGGGCGTCCAGCCACGGGAGAATGGAAGGAATCGGTGAGTGGAACGGTCTGGGCACTGCTAGATCATTCTGGTTTGGGACCACAGTTCAACCCAGGGAAATGGCTGGCCAACTGGGAGGAGTGGGAGGCAAGGGAGAGCCTGGTGGCCTCCAGAGGAAGGAAGGGTGAACAAGAGGGATGCTCCATCAGTAGGGGTGGGCTGGGCTCAGGTCTGAGAGTGGAGGTGAAGAGCTCAGGGCAGTGAGGGCTGAGGGTGGCTTCCTAGGAGCTGCCAGCCCTCCCATGCCCCATTGGTGAGGCCCTGCAGATGCCCCCAGAGTGGGTGGGGTTGTGGAGGAAAGGATGTCTGGAGCTAGGTCTTGAGACAGGTCTGCAGGTCTGGAAGGAGCAGCCCAGGAGGGGATTCCTATTCATCCTCTATGTTTCCAGTGCCATCTGTGTGTGCCAGGCCCGGTGGCTTGGGGGGAGGGACAGAGTCTGGGCCCCACACTGGATCCCAGGCAGGGGGTGGGGTGGGGCAGGATGGAGCCCTGCACTTCTGTCAGGTGGCACAGACCCTAGAGGATGCTCAGGGACTGAACCTTGTGGGGTTGCTTTTTTTTTTTTTTCTTTAACGAGCAGTCAGAGAAAACAGATCTTGTAGAATAACGCGATCCCCTCTCTAAAGATGAGCGATTCTTCCTGCCTGGCCTGTTGGACACATTTCCACAGGGCGGTCTTGGAGTTTGACTTCCTCTAAGCATCTGGGGCACCGGCAATGGCGAGTGTCTGTCTCTCTCCGGCAGGCTCATTGGGAGGGGGCCTCCCAGTGACGCCCCCTTGCATCCCTGTCCCTCCCCCAGGGACACCCCGGTGTCCGGACCCGGCTGCGCCCTCGACCCGGATCCGCTGGGCGCCGCACCCCGCCAGGGATCCCGCGGGGTGGAGGTCACCAACCCCGGATGGGTGGTGACCGCGCCCCGGCAGCCTACAGTCGTCCCCTTCCCCGCCGAGAGTCCCCGGTCCAATTTCGGCGCCCCCAGCCGCAAGGACCCCCGCTCCCGGCGCCAGCCCCCGCCGCCACACTCACCGGAGCTGCCCTCTCCCCGCCCGGCTCAGCTCCCGCTCGGGCTGCGTGGCCGCGTGGCCGCGTGGCCTGTGGCCCAGTGGCCCGGCCGGAGCGCCGAGCGCGGCCCCCTCCCTCCTTCCGCCGGTCGCGCGGGGTCCCCCGGCCCCGCCTCCGCCCCGCCCCCGCGGCCGCCGCAGCCGCTGCCAAGGCAACGGGGAGCCGCCGCCACGTGACCTGCCCGCGGGGGAGCCGCGGCCACGTCACCCGCCGGGCCGGGAGGGGCGGGGCTGGCGGCACCTCCTCGGAGTGGCGGGGTGGGGGTCCCTGTCTTACCTGGAACCACCCCGGGATCGCGCGCTGGAGAGGAGCAGGGGAGGTGGGAAGGCCCTGACCCGCGCGCATCCCTCCTGCCCCAGCTCCCGTCCCCCGCCCCAGCTCTGGGAGTCAAGGCGAGGCCCCCGCCCCATTGGAGATCTGGCTACCCACAGACCACGAGCTGGGCTTTCCCTGCCCCTGGGTCCGGGCGCAAAAGGGAAGCCCCGGGCTTGGCAGGGGGAGCTTCGGGGGGTGCCTAGCATTGGACGCTGGCTGCATGGAGGGGTGGGGAGTGGGGACAGGGCGGGCGGGTGCCAGGTGGGCAGTGGAGGGGAAAAGAAGGTGGGGAGGGGAGAATCTGTCTGGCCACGCCTGAGTTTTCACAGGATTTTTTTTTTTTTTTTTCTGAGACAGGGTCTGGCTCTGTCACCCAGGCTGGACTGCAGTGGTGCGATCATGGTTCATTGCAGCCTCGAATTCCTGGGCTCAAGTGATCCTCCCGCCTCAGTCACCCAAAGTGCTGAGGCTACAGGCAGGAGCCACCACACCGTGGTAATTAAAAAATTTTTGTTTTTGTTTTTTGAGAGGGAGTTTTGCCATGTCGCCCAGGCTGGAGTGCAGTAGTGCCATCTCCGCTCACTGCAACATCCGCCCCCGGGGTTGAAACGATTCTCCTCTCTCAGCTTCCTGAGCTACAGGTGCGGGCCACTAGCCTGGCTACTTTTTTGTATGTTCAGTAGAGACGGGGTTTCACCATGGTGGCTGGGCTGGTCTTGAACTCCTGACCTCAGTAGATCCGCTGGCCTCGGCCTCCCAAAGTGCTGGGATGACAGGTGTGAATCACCGTGCCCGGCCAAAAAAAAAAAAAATTTTTTTTTAGAGATAGGTCTCCCTGTGTTGGCCAGACTGGTCTTAAACTGGCCTCAAGTGATTCTCTCAGCCTCTCAAAGCACTGGGATTACAGGTATGTGCCACAACGTCCAGCTGATTTTAAAATTTTTTTGAAAAATAGAGACGGGATCTCACTATGTTGCCTCTGCTGGTCTCGAACTCCTGGGCTCAAGTGATCCTCCCACCTCGGCCTCCCAAAGTGCTGGGCATAGAGGCATAAGCCACCTTGCCTGGCCCCTGCCCAGGGTGTTGGATGGCACCACGAAGAGCTTGCACTGAGCTAATTGGGGGTTGCCACCCAGAGCGCACTGCCACTCACAGGCCCAGCAAGACCCCTGGGGTCCCAACCCCAGTGCAGCAGGCTGTCCTTCTCAGGCTGTTCGCACACAGCAGCAAAGCGTTTCTTCTTCTTCCACTCTCTACTGCAGAGAGCCTCTCACCCTTAATGGTGAACTCTCTGCGGTTTTACGAGTGAGGTAGTCAAACAGGAGCGTTCTTTTCAGGAAGTGCAGCACATGAATAATTCACAGACAGACAAGATGGGTTCCTATCAGCCCGGCGGTGCCAGACGGTCCCTTGGAGTCCTTCCTCCGTGCCGGGTAGGCTGCTGCGTGCCCTACATAGGATTTTTCCATCTGTCACAACAGCATTGGACCGTGACACATTTATCCAAACGAAGGAAAAATTCCACTCATGTCAGCCAGCCCACATTTTATGACAATTGGAAGAGTAGATGTTACGGACGCCAGGTTAAATCCATCTACACTTCGAGTTGTATTTTACAGACTACTGCTGAGAGCCAGAATGAAACCACGAGGACACTTAGTCTAATAAACCAGGTTTCCCCCTCCAGGTTACTGACCTAAAAGGCAGGTTAGGCCCTAACATGGGCATAAGAAAAGCCCAGGGTTCCTTACTGGCCCTCCTCCTGCCACCCCCATCAATGGCTATGGGTAAGGGATCATTTGAATTTCAGGGGGCAAAGTCCTCAAAAAGCAATCACGCTATGGCTTTCCAACGTGGAGTTCTTGGTAAAATGTATCTCGATGGCTCACGCCTGTAATCCCAGCACTTTGGAAGGCTGATCACCTGAGGCCAGTAGTTCAAGACCAGCCAGGTCAACTGGTGAAACTCCATCTCTACTAAAAATACAAAAATTAGCCAGGTGTGGTAGTGCACGCCTGTAGTCCCAGCTACTGGGGAGGCTGAGGCAGAAGAATCGATTGAACTTGGGAGGCGGAGGTTGCAGTGAGCCAAGATCATGCCATTGTACTCCAGTCTGGGTCAGAGAGCAAGACTCTGTCTCAAAAAAAAAAAAAAAAAAAAAAACCCAGGAAGAAAACACTTTGTAAACGGCAGTAGTTTGCATCACAGATGAAAGTGCTTTCAGCAAAGGAGTCCTTTGTTGAATTCTCACTCTTGCAGCAACTTCACTCATCCCTGAGAAAGCTTCCTGTGCCTGTTACTGATGCCGCCACCCCCCGGGCACATTTATCCAGCATGCCCAGACAGAAGCAAAATGCAAGTCATAATTGCCAGTGCTTTTCAGAGCTGGTTTCCTAACCAAACAGAATAGCTTGCTTGCTTTTCTTTCCCTCCCTTCCTCCCTTCCTCTTTTTCTCTTTTCTCTTTCTCCCTTTCTCCCTCCCTCCCTTCATTCCTTTCCTTCCTTCCCTCCCTTCCTCCTCCGTCCCTCCGTCCCTCACTTCCTCCTTTCTTTCCCCTTCCTTCCTTCCTCCCTCCTTCCCCCCTCCCTCCCTTCCTTCCATTTTATTCTTTTTTTTTTTCTCCCTCTCTCTCTCTCATTTTATGAGACAGAGTCTCGCTCTGTTGCCCAGGCTGGAGTGCAATGGTGCCATCTCGGCTCACTGTAACCTCCACCTCCAGAGTTCAAGCAATTCTCATGCCTCAGCCTCCCAAGTAACTGGGATTACAGGCACAGTCCAGTAAGCCTGGCTAATTTTTGTATTTTTAGTAGAGACAGGGTTTCACCATGTTGGTCAGACCGGTCTCAGAACTCCTAACCTCACATGATCTGCCGGCCTCAGCCTCCCAAAATGTTGAGATTACTGGGTTGAGTTACCACGCCTGGCCTGTAATAGCTTTTTCTTTTTGAGATGGAGTTTCGCTCGTCATCCAGGCTGGATTGCAATGGAGTGATCTCGGCTCACTGCAACCTCCACCTCCCGAGTTCAAGCAATTCTCCTGCCTCAGCCTCCCAAGTAGCTGGGATTACAGGTGCCCACCACTATGCCCAGCTAATTTTTGTATATATTTTTTAGGAGACGGGGTTTCACCGTGTTGGCCAGGCTGGTCTCCAACTCCTGACCTCAGGTGATCTGCCCGCATAAACCCAGCTCCTAAACCCAGACGATGTTTCAGCCGTCAGCCCTAGGTCAGCTGTCTCAGAAGGGTTCCCTCAACCACTCAGCTGCTGGCAACCATGAGTCCCCTCCCCATTGGGTTGTGTGAATTCTCCCACATCCATGTCGCTGGACTCTCCCCTACTTCTCCCTGTCCTCACTTGCTTCTGCACTAACTCAGGCCACCATCACCTCTGGTCTGCATGGCAAGGCAGGAGCCTTGTCCCTTTCCACAAACTCAAAGGTCCCCCATGTCTCTCCATTCCAGCCCCTACCCTGTGACCTTTGAGACTCCAGTCCCCTTATTAACAGGGTCTGAGGCCATGGCAGGGCGCCTCGTCCCTCCCCAGCTCGCTTTCTGGGCACTCTTGTTCTCCTGAGCCGCCTAAGAGTTCACCTTGGTGCTCGCCCTTGCAGAGGCCTGGGTCAAGTGCCCACACAGCATGCTGTGCTGCTCTCCCGGATCCTGTTCTGCTGAGACCTGGAGCCCCCTGAAGGCAAGGACTGTGTTTTGTCCACCACCATCCCCAGTGCCTAGCAATGGGCCTTGGAATCCTTTGGATTTTGCACTTAGTGGATGCTCAATAAACATTTGCTATGTTTTATTATTATTTTTTGAGACGAAGTTTCACTCTTGTTGCCCAGGCTAGAGTGCAGTGGTGCCATTTCGGCTGACTGCAACCTCTGACTCCCGGGTTCAAGCAATTCTCCTGCCTTAGCCTCCCAAGTAGCTGGGATTTACAGGCTGTCATCACCACGCCTGGCTAATTTTTGTATTTTTAGTAGAGACAGGGTTTCACTGTGTTGGCCAGGCTGGTCTCGAACTCCTGATCTCAGGTGATCCACTCACCTCGGCCTCCAAGTGCTGGGATTACAGGCGTGAGCCACTGCACCTGGCCTTTTATTTCTGAGATGAGGTCTTGCTTTGTTACCCAGGCTGGAGTGCAGAGGCAGAATCATGGTTCACTGCAGCCTGGATCTCCCAGGCTCAAGTGATTCTCCCACTTTAGCCTCGGAAGTAGCGAGGTCTGTGCCACCAGGCCAGGCGCACTTTTCAATTTTTATTTGGTAGAGACGGGGGGTCTCACTATGTTGCTCAGGCTGGTCTTGAACTCCTGGCCTTAGGTGATCCTCTCGCCTAGGCCTCCCAAAGTGCTGGGGTTATAGGCGAGAGCCACCGCACCCAGTGGCTTTACCATGTTCTGTGGAGTAAGAAAACAGGAAACAGCCACCCGGAACTTGCTCCAGGTTAATTTCCAAGAATGTTCTCTCTACTGAAATATATGTTAATATATGGTAATCATAGCTCACTTTAGTCAAGTACGCCAAATAGTAAACAGAAATTAACTTCCAAGAGGGAGAAGGAGAAAACACGCATCTCCACGATGAATGCAAAGGAACTGGCCTGAGTTCTATTTCCAACAGTTAGTAGAACACTCCTGTAACTCAATTTTAATGTCTTAGTTTTTTTTTTTTTTTAACCAAAATATAAATGTAGGAAATAGGGAAGTAAATTTAAAATCGTAACAGGGCAGGGCTTGGTGGTGCACACCTGTAATCCCAGCACTTTGGGAGGCCGAGGTGGGAGGGTCGTTTGAGCCCAGGAGGTGGAGACCTGCCTGGGCAAGATGCAAAACCCCGTCTCTACAAAAAATACAAAAATTAGCCAGGCACGGTGGTGCACACCTGTAGTCCCAGCTACTTGGGAGGATGAGGTAGGAGAATGGCTTGAGCCTGAGGTGGAGGTTGCAGTGAGCCGAGATCACGCCACTGCACCCCAGCCTGGGCAAAAGGGCCAGACTTTGTTTCAAAAACAAACAAAAATTAGGCTGGCATGGTGGTACATGCCTGCAGTCCTGCAGGGAGGCTGAGGTGGGAGGAATGCTTGAGACCAGGAGTTGCAGGCTGCAGTGAGCAATGATGGCACCACTGCACTCCAGCCAGGATAACACAGCAAGACGTTGTCTCAAAGTTAACTAATTAAGGGGGCGGGTTCTGTAGTAGAATCTCCTGGAGCAAGTACCTGTTTAAATGTATATTTGGGCGTGAATCGTAATGATGCAGAATCACAGGGGCATCACCAGGGAACCTAGATATGTTTGTTTTTGAAACAGGGTCTCACTGTGTTACCCAAGCTGCAGTGCAGTGGAGTGATCACGGCTCACTGCAGCCTTGAACTCCTGGGCTCAAGGGATCCTCCTACCTCAGCTTCCCAAGTAGCTGGGACTGTAAGTGCGCACCATCATGCCCAGCTAATTTTAAAATTTTTTGTAGAGATGAGGTCCCACCCAACAGCGATGAGGGACATTACTTCATGATTCTCCCCTAATCTTGTTTTTTTTTTACGGGGGGTGGGCAGGGGCTCTCAGTATCACCCACTCCTTTCTCAATGATGACATCTGTTTGTTCCTCTTTTCCCAAATAAATGATGCCCTGAAGAAAAAATCTCTCAACTTAAGGTCCTAATGACCTAATAATAATGGCCAGAAATGGCTACAGGACATGTCCTGCCTAAACATCTCTGCACCCCATGGGGGTGAAGCCCACCACAACCTGGCATCCTGCTGCATCGCCATGTGCCCGCCCACCCAACACACGCCCGTGGCGACTGTCTCTCTTGGCCCAGTGAGCTGGCAGAGGCAGGAAGGGACTTGCTCACAGTCCCCTGGCTTACCAGAGGCAGGGAAAGGATTAAAAGCTAGGTCATCAGGCTCCAAGCCCCAGCACCCTCCGCAGCACTAAGGAGGCCCACAAACTCCAGGCTGCAGATTCAGGGCAGGGGCTGTGACACACATGGGGGCGGGGAGAGGGATGGAAACCAACAGTCCAAAGACAGGAGAACTAAAACCGAAACGCAAACCTGCCAGTCCCAGACAAAGACAAAAACAGGTTTCAAAATGTACAGCCAGGGCATGTGCTCATTTATTTAGGGCTGACTCTCCGTGTCTGATTCCTGGGAAAGAAAATCCCTGTGACATGAACCGATGAAGGGACAGAAGCTATCACAGATGTTACAGGGCTCAGAGCGGGGCCGGGGAAATCTACACTACAGAAGTAAAAGCAACAGAAAATGTTTCTGGGTTTCCTTTCCCTTCACTCAAAACCACTATTTCCTTAATTCTATCAAAGTATGTAAGGGGCACAAAATAGACTCAGGAACTTGGGGTTAAATCATCCAAAAATGGAGCCAAGGCTCTAACTAGCAACCGTCTCTGTCGTCCCTGTTGGCCTCAAAACACTGAGGTCAAAGGCTGGTCTCGGCTCCTCCCAGGCACAGTGCCCCGCCCTCTGTGTTCATCATCATCATCGTTTTTTAAGAGACAGGGTCTCGCTCTATTGCCCAGGTTGGCCTTGAATCCCTGGACTCCAGCGGTCCTCCTGCCTTGGCCTTCCGAGTAGCTGGGATTCCAGGCACACGCCTCTGTGCTGGGCTGCCCTGCTTTCTGCAGGTGCCTTCTCTGCACGGGCCCAGTGCCTCCTGGATGCCAGTCTGGGGCTGTGCCACCTGAGGACAAAGGAGTTCTGCCTCTCTTCTCCCCGCTGGTCCCAACTGCTATGACCTGGCGGAAAGCCCTAATGGTTGCAGTCATGCAAGGAGGAGCTCCACCCACTTGACCGAGTCCCTCCTCTCTCAGCCCGTTCTGTTTAGACCCCCTTCCACTTCGGGATGAAAATGCAGCTGTCGGCGAGAGAATCCCCGTCCGGCTGGGAATCCCCTGCCCTCTGCTCTGGCTCGGTCCAGCTTGCATTCTCCATCTGCTCACTCTCTGGTCAACGGCTCTTCCCCCACAGCCCTTTCCACACACCCCATGCCCTTGTGATCCAGCCCCTGGTGAAATCCCTGGCCCGGGCCTCCCTGTGCACACTCAGGGCTTCCCAGAACACACAGGGCACTGGGAGCTGCAGTGGGAGCAGACCCTCTGTGGTGTGGTTCCCACTTCCCACTGGAGTGGGTGGGCAACATGGACCAGCCCCACAGCCGAGGCCATCTCCTCACTGAGCCTGGGACCAGGTCCACATAATGGGGTTCAGTCCCCATGGGAATGGTGGCATCTCACAGCCTTCTCCAGAGTGTTTGTAACTCACGGTCCACACGTCCCAACAAAATGCAAGGGTGTTCTGCTCTTTACTAAATAAACGCTCCCTTCCCAGAAACCAGCCCCAAACTCATCACTGTTCAAATATGTGACAAGGTGAGGCTCTCTGTCCCCGTTTACCAGGAACACGGATGGCATCTGCAAGGCAGTGCCTTTGAGTGTCAGGGAGACGGCCCCTCAGGCTCCCAACCCTGCCGAAAGCAGGACTGCGAGCGGCTCGGGAGGGGTCTCCTTTGCTCTCCATCCAGTGGGTCAGCGGGTCCTTGCAGGGAAGAAAGAGCCAAACAGCCACCTTTCCTTTCTGGTCACAGCACGAGCCGGGTTCCAGGCAGCGGCTGTGGCAAACACTGTCATCGCCCCATGATGAAACTGGGCACCTCCTCCTCCTCCTCCTCCGTTCCAGACGCCTCTGCAGAGCTGCTGGACCCCTGCTCCTGGGGCTGACCAGGTCCTGTAACCACACGACATTCAAATCACACACATGCAAAATGGTTCAGGATCAAGTGTGCTTTCAAAGAGGAGAGCTGATGGGAAGTCAGAAGTTCCTGTTCCTGGACCGCACAGCGAGAAACCAGGGCCACGCCTCACGCCTGCCAGTCCCCTGAGCCATTCCCTGGAAGTAAGGGTGGGTCACAGACCTGATCTACCACCGCTCTCACGGGTGTACCCCATCTTTACCTAAAGGCCCAGCGGCACACGCAAGACCCGACACCCCATAAACCAGGCCCTACTACTTTTTTTTTTTTTTTTTTTTGAGACGGAGTCTCGCTCTGTCACCCAGGCTGGAGTGCAGTGGCCGGATCTCAGCTCACTGCAAGCTCCGCCTCCCAGGTTCACGCCATTCTCCTGCCTCAGCCTCCCGAGTAGCTGGGACTATAGGCGCCCGCCACCTCGCCCGGCTAGTTTTTTTTTGTATTTTTTAGTAGAGACGGGGTTTCACCGTGTTAGCCAGGATGGGGCCCTACTACTTTTACATGGCTCCTGCCCCCTGCCATGGCCACCTCCTGGGTGGGCAAATTCCTGACCCACCTCTTCAACACCTAACGCCAGGCTGACAACACTCTCGCTGAAGTCTCAAGTTCTCACTGGCGTCCGCGAAAGGATTTCTGAAACCTGTGTGGCAGAGGACTCTGCCCCTACACATACGCCAGCTTCCCAGCTCCTCCCAAGTATGGCCCAGGAATCCCCTCCTGACACCTGTGAGCAGCGCGCGGTCCCTGTTCCCGTCATGACTGCCAGCCAGAAGCAGAGCAGGAGGACAATGTGTTCCCAACTCCTTCCCTCCCCGGCTTCCTGTGGGAGCAGGAGGACAAGAGAGAGTTGGAAAGGTGGAGGCAGAGACCACAAGGCAGCAGATGGCCTGGCTTAGCCACGCCAGGACACTGCCCGCAGGCACAGTGGCCTCAGCCAACTCGCAACTGGGTGGGCTCACCCGGGCCAGCCAATGCTCCTCCCGGCACATGTGCAGGGCTTGCCCTGGCCACCCACACGCCCACTACACACCCTGAGCGCTGCCACTGCTGTGTCACCACAGGGCAGAAAAGGGCCTCTAAGCAGGAGGCCCTGCACAGCCGAAGGCACAGCCTTGCCTGAAGTTCACTGTCATACCCAGGATGGGACCCCAGAAAGAACACACACGGCTCTGGTGAAAGCATCTGGAAGATTTAATTTCATTAATTTGGGGCATCCCTTTTTCCCCTCAACCTCATACCACACAGCATGATTAGCTTTGAAAGTTCAAATGGGGAAGCTGGGTGCAATGGTGCACAACTGTAATCCCAGCACTTTGGGAGGCTGAGGATGGATCACTCGAGCCCAGGAGTTTGAGACAAGCCTGGGCAACACAGCAAGTCCCATCTCTACAAAAAATGGCCTGGTGACACATGCCTATAGTCCTCACTACTCATGAGGCTGAGGCAAGAGGACCTTTTGGGCCCAGGAGTTCAAGGCTGCAGTGAGCCATGCCACTGCACTGCAGCCTGGGCAGAATTTTTTTTTTTTAAGTTTAAATGGTGAGGATATTTTAATAGCTAATATTTGTCCAACACTATTACATGCCAAGCACTGTGCTAAGTCTGTACATAGAGTACTCTGTTTAATTCTTACAATAGTCTATGAGGTAAGTATCACTCTTATATATCCATTTTACAGATGAAGAAGATAGCCCAGAGAGGTAGAGGAACTTGCTGCTCGAGATCTCCTATTCGCTAAGACAGGGACCCAGGCTTAAACACGCTCTCTGACTCTCTCGGCCTCTGCCTACGTTGTCTGCAGAAATTGCATAAGGGGCCGGGCACGGTGGCTCACATCTGTAATCCCAATACCCTGGGAGACCAAGGTGGATGGATCATGAGGTCAGGAGTTTGAGACCAGCCTGACCAACATGGGGGAAACCCCATCTCTACTAAAAATACAAAAATTAGTCGGGCGTGGTGGCGGGCACCTGTAATCCCAGCCACTCGGGAGGCTGAGGCAGGAGAATCGCTTGAACCCAGGAGGCAGAGGTTGCAGTGAGCCAAGATCATGCCACTGCACTCCAGCCTGGGTGACAGAGAGAGACTCTGTTTCAAAACAAAAAAAACAAGCATAGGGTCTGATCTTTAATTCTGCTCCTGATGAATCGTAGAATACTGGTTGAGCTGGATGTTTGTGGAGAGGAGCAACAGAGAAGGACTGGAAGCATTTCCCGTGGCTGAAAAGCCTTTGAAAATGCAGTATGGGCTGAAGATCCCTTATCCAAAATGCTCGGGACCAGAGGTGTTTCAGATTTCGGATGTTTTCAGATTTTGGAATATCCGCATCTACACAATGAGATACCTTGGGGATGGGACCCAAGTCTAAACATGAAGTTCATTATGTTTCATGTAACCCCCCATACACATAGCCTGAAGGTAAATATAACATTTCAAAATAATTTTGTGGCTGAGTATGGTGGCTCACACCTGTAATCCCAACACTTTGGGAGCCGGAGGCAGGTGGATAACTTGAAGTCAGGAGTTTGAGACCAGCCTGGCCAACATGGTGAAATCTCATCTCTATAAAAACACAAAAATTAGGCCAGGCACAGTGGCTCACACCTGTAATCCTAGCACTTTCAAAGGCTGAGGCGGGTGAATCACTTGAGGTCAGGAATTCGAAACCAGCCTGGCCAACATGGCGAAACCCCATCTCTACTAAAAATACAAAAATTAGCCAGATGTGGTGGTGCACCTGTAATCCCAGCTACTTGGGAGGCTGAGGCAGAAGAATTGCTTGAACCAGGGGTGGGGGATGGGTGGAGGTTGCAGCAAGCTGAGATCGTGCCACTTCACTCTAGCCTGGGCAAGAGCGAAACTCTGTCTCAGAAATAAAAAAGGAAAATTAGCCAGGCGTGGTGGCGCACGCCTGTCATTGAGCTAATTGGGAGGCTGAAGCAGGAAAATCGCTTGAACCCGGGAGGCAGGGGTTGCAGTGAGCCAAGATCACGCCACTGCACTCCAGCCTGCACAATAGAGCAAGGCTCCATCTCTAATAATAATTTTGTGTATGAAACACAGTTGTGTACAATGAACCATCAGAAAGCAAAGGCATCTATCTCTCACCCATGTGGCTGATCTGTGGCTTGGTGTCACCATCATTTCTGACTCTGAATTTATTTGTGACTGATAAGCAATCCTTTTCATACACTTACTCACACATAAGTGCTTAACAGTAATAAATGTGATGGGCCATTCATACAGTAGAAAATAGTATGTTCAGAGTAATTAAGCAGCACAGCTGCATCACGAGAACACCTGGATCGGCTGCTAAATGGTAACAATGGTAACAAACCACCTACTATGCTGTGTTTGAATTAAAGGGTTACGGGACACTTTTTTTTTTTTTTTTTTAAGACGGAGTCTCACTCTGTCACCAGGCTAGAGTGCAGTGGTGTGATCACAGCTCACTGTAGCCTCCTGAGTAGCTGAGACTATGGGTGTATGCCACCACACCTGGCTAAGTTTTGTATTTGTTGTAGAGACGAGGTCTCAACCATGTTGCCAAGGGTGGTCTTGAACTCCTTGAACAGTAAGAGTTCAAGACCAGCCTGGCCAACATGGCGAAACCCCATCTCCACTAAAAATACAAAAATTAGCCAGGCGCGGTGGCGGGTTCCTGTAATCTCAGCTGCCCTGAAGGCTGAGGTTCAAGTGATCCTCCCTTGTTGGCCTCCCAAAGTGCTGGGATTACAGACATGAGCCACCGTGCCCAGCCTTATTTTTCAATTTTTCATGAACTTCTGTTCATGGCTTTTGGTGTTTCAACTTTTTATCCCTCTGCTTCCTCAGGTCATGTGTGGCAGTCATTCTTGGCTTTCTGGGCTATAGATAAACATAAATGCTTCCTCTTTTTCTTATCACTGTTACCCACAGGGGGATCTGCAGGCCTTTTTGACGTTTTCAACAGTGTCTTTACACAACAAAGTGGAGAACAAGCAAAAAAACTGTGAGTAAGCATGGAGGTCTGGGCCCTGTGTGGGGCATCGTGGGGAACCTGCCGCTGGTGCGTATGGTCTGTCTTAGAGGCGCCATTTTCTTACCCTCTGTGGGGGTGCTTGGGTGGGGGAAAATCTGGGTGTATGTGGACAGGTTGTATTGCGGTTGAAGGAGGCTGGGAGGGTCTTCTGTCCCTGGGAGACACTGAATCATCTGTGTTGTGTATCTGCGTTTCGACTGTGACCTCTCGCATGAGGTCAGGGGTGTAATTCCTACTTGGAGCGTCATGTCAGTGCTCAAAAGCTCTGAATTTTGCAGCATTTCTGAGTTTGGATTTTCAGGTTTGGGATGCTCAACCTGTATCTCACTAATAGTCTACGCAAGGGATTCTGAGTGTGTGGAAGACCTATTGTCATGGTCTAAGAGTATCACTCTCAGGGAGGAGAAACCCAGAAACCTGGGGCATAGTCAAGTCACTTGGCAATTCAACAAAACTACCCCAGTTCATTCCTTCAATGTGACAAATACATAACAGTAAGAAATCATTGGCCGGGCGCGGTGGCTCAAGCCTGTAATCCCAGCACTTTGGGAGGCCGAGACGGGCGGATCACGAAGTCAGGAGATCGAGACCATCCTGGCTAACACGGTGAAACCCCGTCTCTACTAAAAAATACAAAAAAAAAAAAACTAGCCGGGCGAGATGGCGAGCGCCTGTAGTCCCAGCTACTCGGGAGGCTGAGGCAGGAGAATGGCGTAAACCCAGGAGGCGGAGCTTGCAGTGAGCTGAGATCCGGCCACTGCACTCCAGCCTGGGCGACAGAGCAAGACTCTGTCTCAAAAAAAAAAAAAAAAAGAAATCATCGGCCGGGCGCGGTGGCTCAAGCCTGTAATTCCAGCACTTTGGGAGGCCAAGACGGGCAGATCACGAGGTCAGGAGATTGAGACCATCTTGGCTAACATGGTGAAACTCCGTCTCTATTAAAAAAAAAAAATAGAAAAAACTAGCCGGGCGAGGTGGTGGGCGCCTGTAGTCCCAGCTACTCGGGAGGCTGAGGCAGGAGAATGGCGTGAACCCGGGAGGCAGAGCTTGTAGTGAGCTGAGATCCGGCCACTGCACTCCAGCCTGGGCGACAGAGCGAGACTGTGTCTCAAAAAAAAAAAAAAAAAAAAGAAATCATCAAGTGATTATTGCGCATCAGTTACTATGCTTAATGCTGGTGATACAAGAATTAAAAAGATACTGTCACAAATCAAAAGTGCTGGGATTACAGGCGTGAGCCACCATGCCTGGCTGAATTATGTTAATTTAAAAAGTCATTTAGGATGTCGGGGTCCCAGGATGGAATGTAGAAGGTGACACATGAATCCAAACGTATTATCAATGTACGAAATGATCTCTGTGAAGAGAGTGTGGGGAAAAGTGCTGATCAGCCAAGTGTGGCGGCTCAGCGCTTTGGGAGGCTGAGTCCGGAGGATCGCTTGAGCCCAGGAGTTCAAGACCAGCCTGGGTGATATAGTGTAACATCGTCTCAAATGTTTTTTTAAACATTAAAAACAAAAAAAGTGGCCCGGGGCGGTGGCTCACGCCTGTAATCCCAGCACTTTGGGAGGCCGAGACGGGCGGATCACGAGGTCAGGAGATCGAGACCATCCTGGCTAACATGGTGAAACCCCATCTCTACTAAAAATACAAAAAAACTAGCCAGGCGTAGTGGCAGGCGCCTGTAGTCCCAGCTACTCTGGAGGCTGGGGCAGGAGAATGGCGTGAACCCGGGAGGCGGAGCTTGCAGTGACCTGAGATCGTGCCACTGCACTCCAGCCTGGGCGACTGAGCAAGAC